GTTTTAATCAGAGACTTGAAAGCGGACAGGAATTAGGAAGCCTTGTCTTGGCACGCGGAGTCTAGGGCAATAGCAAGAACCCTATAGAAAGTTGGTGACATCTCGACGTGATAGAATTCAACTTCGAGTCTCAAATTTAGACAAACCTCAACCTCAGGAATCAAGAAAACGGATTCAAAGTTTTTAAAGATTTTAATCCTGAAACAAGACTGATTTTATCAATTTTAAGACTTTTATATTAGCTTTTAAAGGACTATTTTATCGACCATTTTATCGCGTGCGTTTTTAGCCATTGTTTTTATTTAGTTGTCTTTATTAGATGCAACGTAATTTTACTCGAAGACAATTTTCATTCGAAAGCACGCATACTGACTTGATTTTAATTGATAATAATAGCGACAAATTACCAGAACGTGCGATGAATCAGTCTTGAGCCACAAATAGATGTAGGTAGCACACCAAATGCCGGCTCGCTCAACGATAATGTTGGTCAGGTCCGTCCACAGTTTATTTATCAACCGCGTCCATCACTATAAATAAAAAATAAAAAAAATTAAAAAAAAATAAAAAAAAAAAATAAAAAAAAAAAATAAAAAAAAAAAAGTTTTGGTCTCATTCTCCTGACTCGTTGGTCACGTCGACCGAAGCAGGATTCCGCATGGTAGGGATAAACGATGATGTGGACAAATATTGTTATATTATTCGATGCCTGAACGACCGCCAATTGGAAACTATACGTTCTCGCCTCTCGGGCGAGCATCATCCCAGTTGCTATCGACTTTTGCGGGAACTTCTGATCAATACTTACTCCGTCCCGCTTAGAAGGCGCATACGACATGTATACAACAGCGGATGCTCAAATTTCAAACCGTCCGAAATTTTAAGAAAGCTACGCAGTACCGTTTGTCCAAATGACGCTCCAAACACCAACCAGGAATTTTTGAAAGAGATGTTCTTTCAGCAACAACCGCCAGATATTGTTTCAGCTCTTTCTGCCCATCCGGATGATTCCATAGATAAATTAGCCTACCGTGCTGGAGTATATTCTCCAGACGTACGTTACAACCGGCCAATCACATTTCTTTTAAAAATCATGCATCAAACCCTGACTGTAGCGCCGACAACAATAAATATTCTTTCGATGTCGAAGTTAGATCAATGATGTCAAAGTTAGCTAGTGAACTTGGTAATCTTCGGAAGGATCTTGACGTGATAAAGCATAACCCTAGACATTGGTCTTCGGAAGCTGCACCCCCTACTTCCCTTAGCTCTAATGCGTTAACTCAACATCCTGTACGTGTCAGAAACGGAGAGCGCACGAGTCTTGTGAATCCATCGAGAGCCCTTATGCAAAATCATCAATCATCATCTAGTCATGGCAGAGGTTACAACGCCAACTACAGAAACCACCGACCCAATACTCCAACGGCTTGCTGGTATCATCAACGTTATGGAGCCTAGCACGTAATTGCGTCCAGCCTGGTACCTTTTCCAGCCGGGGTATTTTTTTCGCCTAGGGCGCTCTAAAAGATCTTCACAGCGCCATATAAATTCACTTAATAGACTTAATTCCAATTCTCCAAGCACTAATCTTCTCTACGTCTTCGATATAAAAAGCGGCCGACAATTTCTGGTTGATACTGGTGCAACAGTTTTCTTAATTCCCTCACATTGGAAACGTCACAACCATCCTCGATCAGACCGACAGCTGTATGCCGCCAACGTTACACCTATACCATGGTATGGTCAACGAGCTGTGCCAATTGCATTAGATAACGGTATCGAATATGACTGCCAATTTCAAATAGCTCGTGTTTCTCAACCGATATTAGGAGCCGATTTTTTGTCACAACATAATCTTGTGGTTGACTTACGCAACTCGCGTCTCTTCGATCCTAATTCAAACACCTATATATATGGCAAAAAGTCCTTTGGCAAATCAATAGCAGCCAACTTCATCTTACCGAGACATCAAGGCCACTACGCCCATTTGTTGAAAGAATTCGAAGATCTGACAATCCTTCGACATGCATCTGTTAGGGCAAAGCATAACACAATCCACCGTATTATTACAACCGGCTAACCAGTGCATTCTAAGGCTAGACCTCTTCCGCCCCATTTACGCCAAAAAATCAGAGACCAGCTTGACAAACTCATTGAATCAGGAGACATAGTTCCTTCCAACTCTCCTTATTCGTCTCCTATCACAGTTGTACCAAAAAAGGATAGCAATGAGGTCCGAATATGCGTCGACTATAGATCCCTTTAACCGCAATCAGACGATAAGAGACAGATGGCCAATTCCTCACATGCGCGATTTTACCAATGAATTACATGGTTGCCACTATTTTAGTAAATGTGACCTTTCGAAAGCATATCATCAAATACCTCTTCATCAATCTGATAGGAAGAAAGCTGCCTTCGTCTGCCCTGAAGGATTGTTTGAACCAGTAACTTTACCATTTGGTCTGTGCAATGCCTGTTCATCATTTTCTCGTTTTCTGTCGGAAGTAACTTCCGGTTTGAAAAATATATTCGTATTCCTCGACGACATATTAATTGCAACCAAAACTGAAGGACAACATCGCCAAGCACTAAGGCATCTATTCTTACGCCTACGAAGACACGCGAAGATACGGACTTGTCTTGAATGTTGATAAATGTGAGTTCGGCAAACAAGAGCTTGATTTTTTAGGCCATCACGTAACACCAAAGGGTATCTATCCACTATCTTCAAAGGTTGAAGCAATCAACAAGTTTCCTTTACCAAATACTTCAAAAGAACTCCGATCTTTTCTTGGTCTAGTCTAGTATGTTACTATCACCGCTTTGTCAAGAACTGCGCGACCATATTAAAGCCACTGCATGATCTAGCCTCACAGAGTAAGAATAGACGACAGTCACTCAAATGGACTCCTGAGACACTGCAGTCTTTCGAAAGGATTAAATCAGAACTAGCATCTGAAATAATGCTTGTCCATCCAAACCATACCGCAACTCTCTCTTTACTTATCGACGCCCGCCAAGTGGCCATGGGTGCCGTCATTCAACAATATGTTGGCAGCGAATGGTCACTTCTCGGATTCTTTTCCAAATCACTCAATTTAGCACAAAGCAACTATTCCGCATTTGATCGCGAGCTTTTAGCAGCTTATTCCGCAATACGCCATTTCAGCACACAGCTGAAAGGACAGAAATTTCAACTTGTGACAGATAACGATGCTCTTGTCAAAGCCATAAAAAATCCTACTGAAAGATTTGTTTCTAGACAGGCACGGCATTTGGAGTTAATTTCCAATTACACTGATGGCGTCAGACATTTGAAAGGCTCACTTAATACTGTCGCGGACACATTATCTCGTATTCAAATTAATTCAACTCATCCCAACATCAACGTCAATAGCATTTTTCAGCCTCCACAGTCAATTTCTTTGCATGAACTTCACGCCGCTCAACAAAACGATCAAGAACTTATCAAATACAAACGGGATCCTGAGAAGCATTCTCTTGAATTAGTAGATGTTCCTATCGCAGAGCTAAGCGGAACATTAGTACTCGATACATCAGCAGCTAATAAATTGAAGCCATTTGTACCCCAATCGTTACGCAAGAAACTATTTGACAATATTCCTAGATTAGCTCATCCTGGTGCCAGAGGCTCAACTGATCTAATTTCATCACGCTACGTGTGGCCCGGAATGGCTAAAAACATTAAGCAATGGGTTCGCGAATGCGCTCAATGCCAGCGTTCAAAAGTGCAACGTCATACACGTACCCATATGACAAATATCAATGTGCCATGCGATAGATTCAACACTGTCAACGTTGATATATTAGGTCCACTCAGATTAAGCAGAGGCTACAATGACATTCTTATGTGTGTAGATCGTTTCTCACGTTGGTTAGAATGCATCCCATTGTCTGATATTTCCGCTGAAAGCGTTGCCAATGGATTTGTATTTGGCTGGGTATCACGATTTGGAGCACCAAATAGGATCATCAGATTGTGGGAAACAATTCAAATGCAAGCTTTGGTCGGATCTAATGAATTTTCTTGGCACCGACCATTCTACAACTCTTCCTTACTCGCCACATATGAATAGTTTAGGGCAGGGGTTCTTAAACTTTGTGAGCCTGCCGAACCCCTGCGCTATTCTGCAAGCTCCCGCGGAACCCCATTGTACTGAACGGTTGAAATTAGAAGCCAAACCGTAACGTCATAAAGCGGAAGCTAATTCTTGCAAGGTTATAGAATATGAACATTGTGATGAAACCTTAGATATCAATAACCATGTGGAAATAACCATTGTTTTGTCACAATGGCGTTGGCGGCAGAAAGAGCAGATGGTTTTTGTTGTATAAGTTATGCGGGTGAACCGGCGAAAACTGATAAAAAATAACTTTGAAAATCCGAAAGATGATAATATACCCCATAAACGTTGGTAGTTCAAGCAATTTGTTCTCAAACTTTAAACTGCGCTGAAATGCGAATAAAATCGTTTGCCAATTGTTTTATTTTACAGAAATAGAGATAGGATTAATTCGGCGCCATATCGAGGTTGTCCTGAATGGATCATAATAATTTCGGATAAAGCTCTGCGATAAACTATTCCTTGTCGCAACTTTATCACCTAGTGAAATTCAAACACGCTATGATTTTGCATTCATTCATGTACAATTACTGCCTATCTTCTATTTATCCGTAAAATTGAGTTAAATTTTATTAGTACAGTAGAATATGAATAGGGGTAACACCAATTAATTGTTTCATTCAATTGTTCAAGTCATTAGTAATTAGTCATCATGAACTATAGTTATTTTTGCATAATTAGTATGCAGGGTGATAAAAAAAGTCTCATAATATGCAACTGTTTCAGAGCACCTTCGTCGCACCCCTGGAACAGCTCCACCGAACCCCAGGGGTTCGATCGAACCCAGTTTAAGAACCACTGGTTTATGGGGAACGCGCAAATCGTACGCTTAAAAATGCTCTTCGCGCTATGGAGAATCCTGAAGACTGGTATGACATTTTAGGATTTGTTTTGCTCGGCATTAGAAGTGTCACCAAAGAAGATTTAGGTTTGTCCTCGGCAGAAATTCTGTACGGAGCACATCTTCGGCTTCCTGGTGAGCTCGTAGACCCTCGTCCAAATCAAACTACAATCGAACCGTATAATTATGTCAACAAGATGCGCAGATTTTTTAACAAACGACATAGCGTGCCTACTCGAGAGCAGCCGCCTAACCGAGTTTATATTCCTGAAGAACTCAATAATGCAACACGTGTCTACATTCGTGTCGATTCCACAAGAAGAGCACTCCAGCCCGTCTATACTGGACCACATAGGGTAATTTCAAGGTCCAACAAGTATTTTACGGTCGAATACAAAGGAAATCCTTACGACGTATCAACCGACCGCGTGAAACCAGCATTCCTTTCTTTTTGTGACGTCGAGACTACAACTGTCAAATGTCACCCTTCTCCACTGAAGCCTCAGTCAAAACCTGATAGCGAACCAAGAGAAAACCCTCCCATTTTAAACGCACCAACACAAAATAGCCTTACTCGACGTGGACGGGTAATTCGCACACCACGGCAATTAGACAATTTTCTGCTGGCACCTATTTTTGAAATAAACATTTAGGTTAATAGCGTACCTTTTTACTTTCTTGTGTATATATATAGCCCCATTAAAGTGTAACACCACATTATATGATCTATTTATTCGTCATAATCATTTTTTTTCTCACTTTCACGTATTTCAATTAGCTCTTCCCACCGGTTGATTTCGTCTTAATGATTTGATACGTCTGTCAGCCCAAAATTCTGTCACTACCTTATCCAATTTAACACATGTTATTTATCACCGTTTGCTATTCCCACTTCACCTATCTCAAAATTTTTGAATATCATGCGACTCTTTCCATGTCAGCACCCCAAAATGCTTTTAAGACATGATCGAGTAAAGTATTATTTGTCGTCTTTTCATTTTTTTACAGCCCTGTAAAGCGGGTATTCCTTGGAATATTCCATACATGTTTCTGTTTCTTTACCTTTATCATTTTTTTCTCACTGTCCTGTGCTGTTTTTGTTGCCGGCTGCAATAATTTCATGATTAATGAGAATATTTTGTTGTTCAGCTGTGTCATGTTCGCACTTTCAATTTTTAATTTCCAGCAGGCATATCCCTTATCTCCACGTCAATCAAGTGCACCAAATGGTGAAATTCGGCATATCAAGTTAATTGGATTTAATCGTTAATTTACTCACTAACTATTCATTTGTATTTTTAATGTTTATTTATTTACTTCACCACATGCATAGAATATTACATATAGTCATATTTTCGCAAATCTCACCTCCTATTCATTGCACTTGCTGTTGACAATTATTACTGTCATACACTGACGACAACAATGTTTTGCTGCTATGTATATATTGTACTATACATTGCTATATTTATCGGCTATTACTTAACTGTAAATCAATCCCTTTTTATTTATTTAATTGTCGTCACACCTGTACCCACTTTTATAACTAACAATAATTTATTGGAATATTTTACCCACTTCCATTTCATCTGCTCTGTGCTGCCCTTTGATTCACGTACTCGTCCACGAAGCCTTTACGAAGTGGGGGGGACCTCATATATCGACATCTAGGGTCAGGTCACATGACTTGTAACGCGCTGCCACGTTTTGGCTTTTTGGAATACCAAATTTGACACTCGCTTCCTGACACTTGATCTGTGCACACTCGACTTCTGGAACTCAACTCGGGGATCTCTCGCGACACGCACCTACTACTACTCCAAGCATCTGCCTCATTTTTGAGTTAAGTTAAGTTATTTTACTGTTTGATATCTATTTTATGCTTTTATAACGTCGTTTTTATAATACAACATACAACAAGGAACTTACTCGTTTTAATCAGAGACTTGAAAGCCGACAGGAATTAGGAAGCCTTGTCTAGGCACTCGGAGTCTAGGGCAATAGCAAGAACCCTATAGACGTTTGAAGTATTGTTGGTGAACATGTACCATAAATCGTTAGCGATGTATCAATTTGCGGTGGCTTCATTATCCAAGGAGAATCTCGAAATTGACATCTTTTGGAACAGAGAAGTCGGTAAAAAAGCTGGTTGTTTTCATATTGAACGTTGCGAATGGTGGTTTGTCAGGAAAATATACTTCCCACGACTGTTTGAATAATTGTGCTGTAATTTCGCTGTCATGAGGAATCATTATGCATTTGTAATGTAGACATTTTCTATAATGTATAATATCTAAAGGCATTTCGTTACACTGGGATTGTAAAGCTATAATAGGGGTACTTTTTAATGCTGTCATATATACATTTTATCCAATGGTCATTTATATTTACCCAAACGGACATTCATACCATTTTTAACCGAATATCAGCAAAAATTCGCGTTATTTGTACGAAGTGACAAAACCTATCAGCGTTTGTTCGTTGTTCTAAGCATCGTTCGTATAATGATTACCTGCATAAAATGTGTTTGTGTCTAATTCAGTGCTTATCTACATTATTGGGATAATTTACTATTTCATTAAAATATTATTACAATTGTTCAGTGCGTTATAGTTAACAGAATCGCCAACGAATTTATATCAGGAGCCAAGTCGTGCGAAATTTAACAGTTCTCGCCAAATTTTTGTAATTTGTAAAAATTCTCCCACAGTAAAGTATTTTTTACTTATTTTAGTTTCATAAGTTCATTTATTCCAATTTTTTCATCAACCTAAAGATTCAATGTAATTACAACTTTGAACTCAACACCACACTGATAGAGCCAGAAACATCAAAATGACACTAACAAGGGTATATTATATTCATCGGTTCATCAAGTTAGGACATGATCCTACTGGCTTATCAGACTTTTATCCCGGCCACCAAACATTTGTTGCTATTCTCGCGTCCCTCGTTATTTATGGGTCATTGTGCATATCATTCCTCCAATCTCACCCCTTTGCAAGGTTACCATCCCGTACGTACTAGACTAGAACTAGTATATTTGTAAGCATATATATACAGTATATGTATTATCGTTATAATCCAGACTATAATATGCATTTTTACAGAAATCATGGAAGCAAAGATCATGTGCTATTCATAACTTGAAAATAGTACAAGGTAATCAATTCAAACGATTTGTTATATTTTCAAAATGTTGGATTAGATTAGTATTGCTGATTAGAGTTTATAATACAGGTATCGTTGGAAGATTAATCCATCTTAATTCAAATTGAAAAGATCTCGAAAAAACCTCAGAAGTCTTTTCCACAAACTCAAGTTATCTGGTCCTTCAGAGCTCTCCACATTGCGAATATTTTTATTTTCTTCGTTTATCTTATCCATTTTTTTGAACGATTCGTTCAACTTTTTTACAATCAAGAGGCGAATTTTTTCTGAAACAGGACCAGAGAGAGTCCATTTGGTAACAGTGGACAACTGCTTGGTAATACGATCTTTCAATTCATCATAATGGTTTTTCAAATCGGTGTAGTACCGATCAGTCATAATCTGAAATGCAAACGTGTGTTTTGAGAGTTTACAGTAATACGCTTTTTGTTACACACGAAATGGATCTATGGATTTTTTCCCTAATAATTTCCGTCGTTGTAAAAATCGCCACTATTTGAGCAATCGATTTCAAATTTTCAGTTATTGAATGTGAAACTCACCATTCTTCTACACGTCTGACGGGGGCCGAAATTTCGGTACTCCCGAAGTATGTGAACCAAGCTGGCGGACACCTGAACGTAGTATGTGTACCAGGTTAGGCCATAATTTTATTCCAATTTACCTTATTTTAGTTCTATTACGAGTTCGGGGACTAAGTATTTGTACCTGAAATTGTGGCCTAACTCGGTACACATACTACGTTCCGGTGCCCGCCATCTTGGTTATAATACTTCGGGAGTACCGAAAGTTCACCTAAAATTTTTATATTTTTGTTGAATTCACGGCAACACTGTTATATAGCATTTGGGCATCACGTTTTTCATTTTTAATAGTTATTCAGAAATAATAAACCTATTCTTTGACGGACCTTCTCTAATTCTTGTTCTTCGCGAATAATCACGTCTTCGACCATAGAATCACACATTTTCATTGTAAGCTCCTTTTAAAAAGAAAAATCACATGTTGTACGTGCGGTCTTCTAATATTACATAACACTACACAGAAATATAGCGATTTAAATGGTGATTACGATCAGAAACAGATCCATGCGACTGAACTTCGATAACTCATGAAAAGGGATCTCACCCAATTTTTCCTGTTGTGTTCAAAAGCCTCCTCATACCTATTTTTTAGGTTTTCTTCTACTACGTTTCTGTATTCGTTCAAATACGGACAGCATTGATCGAAATACTGGCGCACCATTCGTAAAAACTCTTCTTGCCTCAACTCTTCCATTTTAGCCAGAGGGATGTTGATAGACTTAAAAGTAAATAATCTGAATCGTTTTTTGTGCAAATGGGCTATATATATCTACAAAATAACTGACGATAATTGGAGAATTGCCTACATTATTCCGCTAAAAAGATTGAAGGGTCTCTCATTTTGCAATCAAAACATAAAATCACCATTAACTTATTTGAAGTAGCAGGCTAAATATACAAATGAAACTTAAATATTATATATCTCACCAATCTGAGTGTTAACCATTCTTTGAACCTTTCAACAATTTCAGCCACATATTTTTCATGAGCGATTTTATTCCTCCACAGCAATGCCATTGGACCTCTATCCTGTGAAAAACATTAAATGTGAGATTGGCATGTGCAAATCATGGGTCTGTTTATATATATTATAGCCGCAACTAAGGGGATCAGTAAAGGCAATTGGCGGAGCCGAGAGTAATTCCCAATGTGGTCTAGCGACAAACCTTGATAGTATGGTATGTGAAATTAAAAGCTCTTGTCGGTACTTCAGACTTCTCATTCTGTTTAATAATTAATCATTTTGAAAGTAATTGTAGAGTGGACATTTTTTAAAATACATTCTAAATATAACAGCTTAGAGGCTTGGTACGGTTACTCTTAATTACTACACCCGACCTTTATTATTATTACGAATGAATATATATATACGTTATCTGTTTGCTTTAGTTTATCAAAATACACAGAATGAGGCAATTGACAGCATTTTTGAAACGACCGGCAGTCGCTAATGTCAACAGTCAAATTTGTAGCACCTGGTGAACTAGTTATAAGCGATAAGCAGATTTGAACTATTTCTGATTCTAAACATTTTGTATTTGTCCAAAAGAATTCCCCAATGTAAAGTAATTTCAGAGTAATATAACAAAAAAGCGCTTTGTTGAATAAATGAGCGATTGGGATTTGACAACTTGGCGTCGCATCTACTATTCAGATCTAGAGATCAAGTCCAGAACATAAACATTTGGAATTGAATATTTACTTCAGTCTGTGAGCTTTCTTCTTCGTCTACGTCGTTCTGATTTTGCTATAAAAAATGATATGTATGAATCAGTGTTCACTCTGCAACGACAATTTATTGACCACCTGCTGTAACTAAATTAAATAATCGTGTTGATGTTATTGTCCTCCGACTAACTAATGAACTCTTGGGATCTCTCTCAAGTTTCGATGCATATCACTTTCTGCAATGCTCGAATCACATTGTCTTTTGAGATTTCACAGTTTGGCTGAAACGCGGTGCAATTCACATTGTTACGTCACAATCTCAACAGCACTAGATCAGGGAAAATCTACGCTGAGTTTCAATTGGCATGCATTTTCATCTTGCAGTTACTTAGAGTTACCTTAGTTAAAGGATATTGAAAAACAAACACACACAAAAACTCTGAATCCCCAGAACGACGCCACTCTATCACCCTGACCTCCCACGGCGTCGCATCGATTCGACGCGTTGAAAATGTGTAGTATCCCTAATTTTAAATCAATGTAACTTCTAAACCATTAAATATCAGATGGTATGTAATATGTCATATAAAAGCCTATCTAGTATTTTATTTATAACTGGCATCATATTTTACGAGATGTTTTGATGAGATGCGTAAGCCTAATTTTAGTCCCGTCTTTAAATTTTTTGTATTTTGGTAATATTTGACACATTTTTTAGAAATGTGTCATCAATATATGTAAAATTTTGAAAAGCATACAAAATTACCTTTTGGGGGATGTACGGATGACCCTCTTAACTTACGAATAACTCAATTTTATTGCGGAATTTGTGATATCGCGTCCAATGGTTTGTGAACAAAATTTATCAACTATTTTGACGCCAAATTTGCGTTACGAGGCAAAGGGCGACGACGACATTATCGTGATGATGTTCACGCGACGTTTCGTGCGTAATGATTTGCGTAAGGTAGATTGCGCATCTGGTCGTTCACAGCTTGAGTTCAGATTATGTCATCATTGCATCAGTGTATATCCTAGGCCGCAGATAAAACCTCCATATTCAGACGGATCTTGATCGAACATAGATAAAATTGCTAGAAATATAAGTACTATTTTATATATATTTATTATCTGAATATGGGACGAAAATGAATGGCCGAATGGAAATATCTGATCCTCATGCGTTTATGAGGTTCCACCGGAAACATCAAGTCTAATTCTTCACCGTTGGATATCATAAAAATTGAAAAAAAAATGATGACTAGAACGTGGAGGATATGGTGGCACCGGTAGTTCACTGGAGAGTGTTTTACATTTTGCGGCCTCATTCGATTTTCAAAATTACTGCATATACGCGACATTCTTGATATCGCTAAATTTACAATGGATTCTAAACGAAAGCTTTTTACCCAGGAAATATTGGATAGTATTCATCTATCTATCGGAAGAAGAAAATCTGAACGATTCCAACTATCCTGACAGTGGCGATTTCGAATCGGAATTTGATGACGATCTGATGGAAGATGATGTTTTTGCGTGAACGTGCTGTCTTATGAACCGGCCAATAATATGCCATCAAGGGCAAGGCGCTTCAATTCTCTATTTCGAAAAAAAAAAAAAACATACCGTTCTGTAGACTTAGAAACCTCATTATGTATTTAAAATAATTTTCTCAGATTTTAAGCTCCGTATGCTTGGTGACTTAGACCATAGGTTCTCAAAGTGCTCCGTACGGAGCCCCAGGGCTCCGCGAGAAAAACCCAGGGGCTCCGCGAGCTATTCGATTACTTTTCAAAATACTGACTAATTTTGTAATTGTTCAAAGAAGCAATAACAGCTTTGATAAAATCTAACAACAATATAGCCTCGAAATATGGCAAAGAGACGGAATTAAAAAATGACAGTATCTATAACCAGGAGCGCAGCCAGGATTCTTAAGAGGGAGGTGGTTCAATTTCCGCGCAACATTCGCGATTAAAAAACGGATGACGAGATTTCTGTTGCGTAAAATATTCAATCCATGACCGATGCGAGCATTTAAAGTGTCTCATTGTTATAATGTAATTGTGCTCATCTTTATTCACCTTTGATTCGAGATTACTATTAGGATTACTAAAATGAAAGAATACTATTCTAATAACATAAAATATGTGATAAACTGCCAACTATAAATAAATTGGAGTTGTATATTTACGATCTTGGGTTTTGTCAAACTTGATTTGTTCTTCCGTACTTGAGATTATTATTAAGCAAGATATCGCCGTTTAAAAAATCACAATGTCTGGGCAAAATACGAACAATTGAAATTTATTTTATTGCATTCGGCTACGTTGGTAGTTTCAGAATGAAAAAAGGTACATCGCGGATTGCGCGCACAATTGATTGCGTGCGGCTCCGTCGGCAGTTTTAAAAAGAGTAAAAAAGGTACATCGCACGCACAATTGACGCACGCACAATTGACGATTTCGCAGTTACTACGATGAAAATCTAACATAACAGCAAATTTTGTGATTTACTATGTCTATAAAAGCGTTTTCAATCTGAGGTGAGTCTGCTGAAACCAAACGTGTGAACTTTCATTTTAAGTTTTAATATTTTGGAATGCCGCTTTCCAATCGAGAAATTTGAGTTGCGGATCTACCTCTTCATTAATTATTATTTTCAGCAGTTCGTCGCCGATGACTATAAAATAGTAACATATTTTTCACATTGAACTCATAATTCCCCACGAGAACAAAAAAGCAATTAACGTCGTCATTGTGTAACAATACATGTATATATATATATATATGTCGAGGGCAATTTTTGATTTAGGGAGAATAAACACCGGCTTAAAGATTGTAGGTTCAAATACACGCCGCCATGGTGAGGAAAAAATCGGCGATTGTAACAAAATGCAATCGCGCACATTATTAGCGGCCTTTCAAGTCTTCCAAAAATGTCAAAAGGGAAAAGATTCGAACCCAAATTTATTAGTATGTTTGTCAAGTGTCAAATTTACAGCTTTAGTATATATAATTTATGTTTGAAATTTAGATTCATTTATGACTTGTATTAACTCTATTAAAAAAGGTTCAGCATTTAAATTGAGTAAAGTACTTTTAACTTGCTCAAGAATATTAATCTGAAAGTTACAATTTTAACATTTATTTTGGGGCTCCGTGAATAATAGTCAACAATTTCAAGGGCTCCGCGACACCAAAAGTTTGAGAACCCCTGACTTAGACATTCCTTGCCTGACCCGAACATAAAATTGATTAAAATTAAAAATGAGTTTTAGAGAGAATATACATTGTGAGAAAACGGCGATTATTTTAAATCAACATTCAGGATTCACACAATCACAGATTTACGAGGTGTATCTATCAAATACGAAAACAACAAAGACATCGCAAAAAAACATAAGAAAGTCAATTATCTTCTAAATTATCTTCAGCATTGCGGCGCGATAATGATATTACCGTTGCTCTAAACTGGGACGGTTATTATACAAGCGGTGATAAGAGAGATCAAGGGCAACGCAAAAGATAAAAATCCGATTTAAAATTTATTTTGGGTTCTGAAAACAGTCCTTAATTAACGCCTTTAACAGCTATTGCCGATGTTCAAAAACTTCGGTTCACTTCGGTCACTTGCGTCGACATCATTTTGTATTTTCGAGAAGCTAGCATGGCAAGTTTAATTGTGATTTAATTATTTGATTCAAGTGTTTATGAGTTATGACGTCGACAGGCCTGTCGTCTGTCAATCTCGGAATGCTGTTAACCGGCTTTGAATTATCGTGCTGTTGCCCATCTTAGAGCATTTTGAAAATTGAGTGGCGCTTGGTTCCGATTTTGCAGTATTACCGATAAGATGGAGAAACTTGTCAGGCGAAGCTAAACAGCGCAATTCAAGTTGAAAGTATGCCTGTACGCTACCGAATGCGGTAACCGAGCAGCCCAAAGAAAATTTGGTGTTAGTGAATGCAACGTTCGCCTTTGGAGAAAAAACCAATGCCTCGGCTCCAAAAAGCGCTTCGAGGGTTGAACGCAGCTTATCCATAACTTGAGACTGAACTGATGAAATAATAGATCGTCGAAACGAGGCGTGATTGTCTTGGCGTCAACACTGCGACCATACGTCTTCACGCACTAAGAATGGCAAGGGATATGAGCTATAACCATTTCAAGGCGTCGAATCGATGGTGTCATGGATTCCTAAAGCGAAATAATTTGTCCATACGCCGACGAACAACAATTTGCCAAAAGTTGCCCAAGGACTATGAAATTCACTTGGAACGATTTCAGCGTTACGTCATTCGTCTGCTTGAGCTCCATCACTACGCCCTCAATCCAATTGGAAATGCCGATCAAACTCCATTAACCTTTGATATGCCGCCGTCGACAACTGTGACTGATAGAGGGGCAAAAACGGTAACAGTTAGATCTACCGGAAATGATAAAAATCGCTTTACGGTTATGCCAGCATGTACTACGGACGGGACTAAGCTTCCACCATATGTGGTACTATCTGCTGAAACCATAGCAAAGGGGTTTAAGAAGTGCTGTATTAGTAATGCCATGGATGGAACCGAGGATGACGAGATTTGGTCGGGTGATTGTGTGAAGAATGCGAAAACTCGGTCAATGAATTCTTAGACAACGTTAATGAAAACGAATGGGAGACATTGTTCGATTCCGAAAACGAATGAATTCAGGGGCTTTTAAAGTTGTAAAACTGTTTATTATATTTATTATTATTTCCATTTTCGGATTTGTATATTCGTAACTAAAATATATTTTCAATCTTTCATAAAAACCGCTGCTTTTGCCATAAAGTACATGTGCCACTTCAAAAAGAAAACCTCCGACTAAAACGGTTGGGAAAAAAAAAAATTATGAGCGTTAAGTTTGCTGATTGGTCAAAACGAGAGAAATGAACAAGCCGCAAATCAGAGTGGGAAAAAATGATTTAGGAACATTCAGGTTGCCGATAGGGCAAAACGAAAATGTCGGACGCCAGACTGGACGACAACAATTAATTAAATTATTGATTTAAAGTGCCGTTCTTATCACTTATATACACTGGCTATTAAAATAGATGCTGTTACCCTTTGTTAGACAGGATAGTCCATTCCGTGGGTGTGATTCTACTGCAACAAGCATGATCTGGTTATAACAGACTTTGTCACATAAAATTAATAGAAATAAGACGGAAACATGTGATAAGTATTCGGCAATTGCATGTAAACATCGATCCGGATTTTTCGACATTTTTCTATAATATATACCAACGTATAATACACACTCCCTAATTTTGGAGATAGAATCCGGTACTAGAAGTGCCTATTATACAAGGAGAAATACGGTAGTTTGAATTTTTATCAACTTTTTCAATTTTGAGTAAGACAAAACTAAAACTACGTTATATTTATTTAGGTTTTATTTTTACCTTCCGCATTGCTTCCGAAAACTCTGAATCAAGGTTTCTTTCAAGTTTTTTTTTAAACTTCTTCTCCTCTTCAGTTAGAGCCTGTGACCAATAGTCGTTAACGACTTTAGTTTTTATCTCATTTTCGTATTTTTGAATTTTATCGTCATCGTGGAGCCCTTTACCTACCTGTAAATAGCTAGGTTTTAAAATCAATTCCAAAAAAAATTGAAAATGTTTAGAAGGCTATCATTGTTTATATATTTTCTTTTATCAATGATCATAATATTTGTAATATATATCGCCGGATGAGAAGAGAACAGGCTTAAGTCACAAATTAGAGTTTTGAGAAAAAGGCAAAAAACAATTTTGAATTTCTAGATATTCACGCTTGAGCTCTGGTATTTTAATGTGGGTAAGAATATCTTTTTTTGGCACTTCTTCTTTGATTCTTTATTGTGTTTTGGCTATTGTGTATTTAATCAATACAGATACAGAACAAGGAATTTTTTTAAAATTCATTATCAAGTCATCATGAAACAAAAATCGTAACATATAAATGTTGGTTTCAAATATTGTGTATTCGAAAACATGGTGGATTGATCTAAACATTAGCCCGTCTTTCAGATAGATTTATTGTCACTTTCTTTGGATATTTTGAAGCCTTTTCAGAAAGTAAAATAGTTTGATTGTCGATAAAAAAAGAGTGAATACAGCTACCACCAAATAACTTTCTAACTTTTATATGGTAAACTTATACTATATTTACTTCGTTCATTATCAAAATTTAGCAGAAATATAAACTTTGATTTTAGTTGCTCAGCAAATTTTCTGTACTATGGGTGTTCAAATTCCAATCCAAATATTGCTTCAATAATATAAAATGACAGAAAACATTTTCAAATTGTGGAGGCTGAAAATGAGCACTTTTGAAGACTGTTTAAGTTCTGCTCTAATTAATTAAATATCAAACTTATTCCAAGCTAGATGCTTGTTTTATCTAATCTTAGCTTATGAGTATGATTGCAGTCTAACTCATCAAGTGGCTGCATAATAAATATTTAATTAGTCAAGCAGGTCAAGGCAAAAATTTGCTCTCGTTTATTGAGATTATATGAACCGGAACTTAAGCGTAAACGGAAATATGTCCATCATATTGAAACTCAGGCTTGTTCTGTTCTCAACTTCTGAAACTTTTTATATTCCCAAGTCCAGCTCAAATTTTTATCATTGACAAATTCAGAATTTCAAGACCACCATCTTGTAAAGCATGTCTCAAAACCCCCAAAATATTGAAAAGAGTGAATTTTCCAAAAATTCTTCTCATTCTTCTCATCCGGCGATATAAACCTATTTCCAGTACGAAGTTATTTAGTCAGTTTTATATCTCAGTCGTATGGGTGGGATTGAGGACGCAAATTTATTTGGCAATTCTTCCTCCCCTCGGAAGCTAGCAGTTTTGCTATACCGGTATCTTCACACATCGCTTTGTCAAATGCCGCCCGATCAACGGCGATAAAAAGAAAAACATAATGCCTGGGTAGGTGGATTTTTTTCTGAGTTGTTAACCAAGGACGCTTTACCAAGAAATATTATGTATATCACGGATTTTTTAAACTTACACTAATCCATTGATTCACACAATCATAGTCGAGTTGCCTAGTCAAGTTGTGTAGATCCATGCGCCTCTTGTTCTGTGCATATAAATACATCTTGGATAAACAGACTCACTTGAGTTAAAACTGACTATATGAATGTACGGTTCTTTTTACCGTTAAAAATCTTACTGAGAATGAATCTGAAGGAAAAAAACACCATGAGTGAATCAACAGCTTAGCATTAATTCTGATTTAATCAAACAAAGCACACAAATTAGTTGAAGCATATGTGTTTTGTGTAAAATGCTGAACTAACATTCCCTCATTTTATCTTCATGTACATCTTATTTACACTTTAATCCGTATTTACCTGTCTATTCTTCCGTTCCATTTCACGTTGTTTAGTGTTTTCCTTGATTAGATTTTCGACAAACTCTTCTGCTTTAGATTTTATTTGGTCACGGTCTGCCATCCCATGATACTTTTCCTGAATTTCCCTAAGATGTTTATCATGCATGTCCCTTAGTTCAACTGAGTCCATGCAAACTTGCTCAGGTAACTGTGAAATATATAGAATCCATATATGCCAAGGTACTTCATAAGCAACAATCAAACTATTAGTTTGATGACAATTCACGTGGGAGAAGTAAACTCATGGGCCAAGCGGGACACGTAGGACTATTGGGACAATTTTATTAAGGAAGACGTCGGCACGCTTTCAACATGATATTGAGGCAACGTGGTAGCACGAAAGTGCATATACCCTGTCAGAGTCGGACGGAACATGGCAGGTAAGTCTCGGATGATGTACACATAACCCAGTTTTTTTTATTGCGATTGGAACAGAGGAAGGGGGTTGTCTCCTTTTGTTACAAACTATGTGTTCTTCAGATTTGCATGTAACAAGAAAAATGGTTCAGGGATTAACTGAATTATTAGGAAAATGATGAGCTGAATGGGCAGAGTGATTCAGAAATAAAATGGGTGCCAGAATGATACTAAATTGTCATCGCAACTTGATAATTAACATTGAAGAGTGCGTAACAATGCCTAATTAGGACCACGTCGTCGGGACCCAAATATCGTTATTCATATAACTTTGCTGGTATCTTAGCATTTTAAACGTGAACAGGGTTCGCGGAAAATTTTAATATGTTGGAAGGGGTTGAGAGCACAAGAGTTTGGGAAGACTCTGCCCTAAAATACCACGACAATCTACGGATATAAAGAAGAGAATAAACTGCCGGATTATATTTGGTTTTAATACGTATTTTTGCGATCTAGCGAATTCGTAATCGCCGTTAGAAAAATCCCAAGATTTGTTATAAAATCCCGAGGATTCGATTTAATAAAACAAAATACTCAACCCAATACAAGCCTCAAGCCCTGCTCATTTTATGGGTATTTTTAAACTTATTTTTTTATGTCAACCATTAAGCCCTAAAGCTTTACTCATGGGTTTTTAAAAGCGTCTGCTGGAGTTCTATTCAGCAATATATCTTTAAAACACACCCCTCGAAAATAATTTTTGCAAAAAAATTTCAAAAATTTCTAAAAAAAAAAAATGGACTTTGAGATATTCTGTGTACAGTAGAGGGTTAATAATTAATTCCTAATTAATTAATTTTTTCTTCAACGTTTTCGTCAAGTTTTTCCTAACATAACAATACCAAAACGACTATTATAGCATAAATGGTTATTACTCTGAAATTCACAATTGTATTTACAGTATTGTCAAGTTCAAGGTCAAATTACCGATACTGATGACGTCACAGCTCTTATTATTACTGCACAGACCACCCCCAATGCAAAAAAATTAAATTTTTTCGACGGAAATGCGCGTAGAACGGCGTAAACAATCTCATACGCGCATTTACGCGTTAAAATTACCATTAATTTTACGTTTTTTTTACATACAAAAAATCTCCATACCTCTGGCAACTATGGAGCATTCGAAATCATATTTATCAAAACAACACAGCGCCAGGGATGGTCAGGGATAGTTAGTATGACTGAAAATACATGCTAAAACAATAATAAGTCGTTATAAACGAGTATTTCCTGTCTGAGCTGAGTCACATTTTTTAGATGTCTGACAGGATATTTATACGATTCGCACTTTGCGTCACGGCTGGAAGGTTTTATCGCCTCTCTCATATCAGGGCATTACGTCGATAAACAGCTAAGAGCGATATTGACCCTATAAGTACCGAAATTTAAAAACTATAGGAAAGAACACCCATATGGGCGTTCCGGCTGTAGAAGGGTTCATTAAGTATTTTGTATCTCAAAAACACATTTTCATCGGCTCTAAATCCTCGCGAACGGCTGCTGAAACGATCGTCTTAATTACGAGCTGTTCTCCAACACTGACTTCGCTAACTTTAAGATATTACCGTTTTTCACAACGAAAATTTTCAGTTTCCAATTTCTAAACGAACGTTTTCAATCTGTCGCGAGCCTCCTAAATCAAAACTTAGGTGTTTCGTTTTAAATTTAGTATTTTATATTGCTGTTTTCAAATCTACAACTTTGGGTTGCGGATTCACCCCTTATTAATCTTTAGCATTTAATAACTGGTTTTTCACAACAAACTCACAATTCCATGTCAGAACAAAAAAGTAATTTTCGTGGTCCTCGTATCACAATACATATATATGTATGTTGAGGGAAATTTGTGATTTAGAAAGCATAAACCGACGTAAATATTAGAGTTCAAGGTATATTTTATATGTAAGGTAAAAAGAAAGTGTCTAAATTTAAAAATCTGCTCGCGGGCGGATTAACGTTGCCGCGGGCCGCAACTCGCTCAGGCTGGATCCAGCGCCTTTCTGATTAACTGCTGCTTTCTGCTTATAATTCGCCCGAAACACGTGGCCGCTTTCTCTTCGAATGGCGCGAATATGAGGAGTGAAACTATACGCGATCAGCTTACCATTACCAGCATACTGTCTGGGCATATTTATTTGTTTTTTCATGTCCTGGAGATCGATCATTGCTCGTTCAAAATACTTCTCTATCGAGTAGACACAAATTCTATGTATATCTCTATAAGCTTTGACTCACATAAAATTTACCATGTAGTAAAATATACCAAAGCAAAATAAGGCGTTTACCGCGATTTCGAACTCTCGGATCAAGCATCGATGAATCAGTTTGATCTATATTTGGTCTGAACTGAGGAAATAGGGAAAAAATTTGTAGCAATTTTCAATAAAAAGGTAGTACAGCGCGTTATACATGAGTGCGTGTTATACCCGAATAAATGCGGTAGCTTACACCAAACAGACATATTAGTCACACTTTTATCCCAAACATATATATTACCTGCATCTTTTGCTGCATCAATTTTTCATACTCTGTAACAGCTTCAAACGTTTTTCTGGCAGATTTTAGCATCTTTTCTTTCTAGAAAAATACGGAATATGAGGTTCCTCTTGCTGTCTTGCATTATTGGTATTCTTTATTGTTGAATGATTAGTATTAACTTATTACTCTATGTCTCGTTATAACCTCATATGATGGAGCATGGTATCTTTTGCACCAAGCCTAAGGCAGATGGAACGAAGCCTTTTACACCTTTGGGAGTACGGAGTGTTTTATTTATCTTCTATATTTTTCATAGACGAAGTGAATGGTTTCAATATACTGACTGATATTTATATCATAGCTTAATAATTGGCCAGCAATGCATTTTTGGATATAATTTTGTTACGAATTCAGAGCAATAGGAGAGCCCAATAGAAACGACGAATATTGTAAAAATTATTTTCAAATCAGATAGATTCTGAATTCTCAGAGATTATTAATTATTTTTAAGTGGCCGTGTTCTAAAGATTTGTTGAGAAATGCCGTGTACCTTCAAATTCGTGTTTCTACTCTTGATTGTATCAAAGTGTTGTTCACACTTCAAACGAAGATGTTCTTCATATTCGTATTCGCATTCACTGTTTCCCATTTTTTCCTTCCCGTTATACAAGTCCAACGCTTTTCGTTTCGCTTGCTCGTGATATCGAAATAGCGGAATATCATCAATGATTTGCACCGTCTTGAAATGCTCCTGTAACAGAAAAATATTTTATAAGATATTCTTTTTGCAGAGCAGGTGGCAAAATCCTATAAAAAGCGCAAATCATGTTTTCCATCATCTTCAACTTTCTTTATTATGAATTAAAATTATCCGTAGAATAAGCTAACGCATTATTATTCGATTCATTTAGCAAAAGTGAACTAACTGGCATAAAATTTATTAGATCAACGTCTCCCGTATTTTAAAATTTATGCAGTTTGAAAAAGATCGTTTGATCAGCATTGCACTTGCATTGATTCAAAATTTTCTCAAAAATTCCAACCTGTCGAACGTTTTGAAACAGTATATTTTGCAATTCTGAGAGCGTATGTTGTGACACATAAAAAAAGTGTAATTACTATTTTGTCATAATGCATCTTTAACAACTTGAAAATGCATGTTACAAAGTACGAAACTAATCACAACTAATAGTAATCACCTTCATTATCTCGTCGTACAGTAAAATTGCTTCTTCATATGCTGAGGCGTAATGTGCCTTAACGTTTGCCTGAAAATCGTCAATTCAGATTTATGTTTATACTTTGTGTATAGATATTAATAAGTTTTCTTGTGTATACAGATGTATAAAAATACTGATATGAGAGAGTTGGATAATTTGTATTTATTGCTTTACTTATACGCCAAAATTATTATTATTTTACCTCCATGATAGCTCCCGCTCCATATAAATTCTTAGCGAATATCTTGTCACAAGCTGTGATCATGTTGAGTACATCACGTGCAGTTACCGCCTTTCCTTTCGTCATTTTAACCTGTAGGTTCTTTGGACTCACAAGTTCTTCGACAAACACTTTCACGTAGGTTTTGAAATCGGCTTCCAGTTCTGGGAATAATATATAGAAATAGGTATGTGTAACTTGAGTCATTTGCCTGTTGTAGCTTTAATATTTCTTGTAACAACTTTTGAATTCGCATCTTCAAAAGGAAGGGTTCATAACTTACATAGTAGATAGATATATATTATAATCAGTTTGTCATAGATTTGTTATTGGACATGAAATGTACATATATATGATTTAATATGTTAATGTTTATTAACATTCATTCCTGTTTCATTCTTCTGTTTTCTGTAACAATTTTATTTTATATACTGTTGTTCTTTTGACAAATGTATTACGAAAATTCACTATATTCATTCATGTTATAATATTGCAGGGACAGCAATCGGAGTAGTAGAAACTTTACCTCTTTCTGTCGTGTTGGCGACAACATTCGGTTGACAACCGGGGTTTATGTAACAAGTTATATTCATATTTAATGGGTCATTTGCCGCCTAAAGTCAATTAGTGGAATCTTTTCCTGAACCACTGACCTTAGAGACAAATTCTTCCTATACCATTGCAAAATTTTCGGTGCTCAGATACTTACTTATGGTTACTCACTTTTATGTCATGCTGATTAGTCAATGTTATAAAAACTTTGGTCAGGGAAAAATTCATTTTTCCCATTTAAAAAATAATGAAATTAAAAAATTGTGTTTAAATATATATACAACGGCAGTTTATAATTAAATAATGGTAATTAGATTATTTAAAATTGCCAAAGGCGAATTCTGATATTCTGGAACTCACATACTAGACGGCACCTTTAATTTTCAATACCGACATAATATGATTAGTAACTCTTTATACCTGCATCGGTTCCATCATAGGATTTCTTTTTGACAACCAGTCCCGGATGGGGCATAAGAAAGCACTGCACTTTGTCGTAGCTGGATTTTATTGCTTTACGGATTTCAATTTGTTCCTCTCCACCTCTATCAGATTGCAATATCCCTTGCAAAAAATTTTCTCCTTCTTTGAAGCCATATTCGAAGTCTTCGTCTTGCGTGTGGTCTCTGACCAAAAACGTCAGCAGTTGAAGCTGCAAAACCAAAGAGTCGGGCAAGAGTCTCAGATCAGGCTAAATGTTGCATTTTTTCCATTTGCATCCATGTCTTACGCCCCGTAGATGTACACAATATATTTCGTATTATTATATATCTGTATATAGGTGCCCTTTTGGCATGCGATTTCAGCGGTTATGTGTTTTCAGCAACTTTAGTATTAACTCAACCCAAGTGATTTTAGTATAAATCTAACCCAACGATGATAGGATTAGAAACTGAATTTTATGAGAGTGCCTTCATGAGATGAAACGCGTATACCGAAGTGAACAAGTGGCACCACAATTGGTGCGACTTTGGTATGCGATTGGAATCGCGTTAAGAAAGTGAGATCACGCACAAAGTAGATTCATCATGACCCCGAGATTACATGCCAAGGTGGCACTTATATATCGTTTTAGATTGGCCATCGTGTGAGTCCGATACGCTTATGCTACTTGAAGACCGTTAGGCCGAAGCTATATTAGTGAATTCCTCAAAACGTCACAAAGAGAAAAAAATTCACATTTCTAGCATTCTTTCAGCTGTTCTCTCCGTTATTCTTTTTTGTAATACATTTTACCGTGCATTTACGGTTGACTACGCATTGTTCCTACGTTTCAATTAATGGCCCGCCGAGCTTACGTGAAATAGTGTTCAGCAGATTTTATTTCTACCTTTTTGCGATCTAGATACCGCTAATTTATGTCATTATCAGAGTTCAAGCACGTGTTTATCGTAACAATTCAATTATACCAGTATATCAATTATGGTTACCGGTGTTAGAATTACAAAGGAAAGTAATTTAGTTATCAGTCATATAGGAAAGCTTAAAATGTCAGAAATCAAACGAAAACTAGACTCAGAAAACAGACGTTTCTTGAATAAATGGCAGTGTTCGTATTTCTCCATTGAAAAGTATCAAACTTTATAGAGATTTGTCTACTTTGCCAACGAACTATTCCAGTTCTGAAGGAATACAACATTGAGCGCTATTATGAGTCGAACGAGCATGTTTCAAAAAAATGTCAAATGAAAGTTTTGGGCGCTACATTCTTCCGGCCCGCGAACATCTTTCCGATTCTAATTTTGGCTCGCGGCCAATAAAGTTTGGAAACCCCTGTTCTAGACCATATGTGAGATAGTAGCTCGTAACATGCGCCTGATTCTACTGCGCTGAAACCTGTTATTAGGGATTGATCCTGCTTGTTTTTATTACTCACTTTAAAGTACGAACCAGAAGCTTCCGCCGCAGTCTTCGTTGCAAAGTCGAGACAAGTCTGAAAAACATCCATAAGGTGTGCATTTTATGATGTTATTATAACCTAGGGCAGAGATATGTGCACATACATAATCGGTAGTTTAAATATAGTTGGCATTCGGTATAGCTCATAATATGCATGTCATAATAGTATTGTATCACAATATTGTGGAGTCTATAACAGGTGGGACTCATCGATATTAATACTCGCTTCATTACCTTCAAATAACTCAAATTTTGAGTATCAATATTTTCTTTGCAATTGAAGATTTGGATCGAACTTGCCAGAGTGCTTAATGATAAGAACGCAGTGTTGTTGTTGATAGTTGTTTGATGATCGTACAGTCCTTGGGTATCCATCAGTAACACAACGACCTGAACAATTTATGTTGTCATACCAGTACTAGGTAAATCAATATGATATTGATTGACTCCGTTTAAAATCATACGTATCAATATGGTATTGATTGATTCAAAAATTATACGTTTTGATAATTAGCATTTAAAATGTTTTGCCATATTAGTTTAATTGTGTTCATCTAACTCGCCTTTGCATCGACTTAAGGTAATATAAAAGCACTACTATTCTGAAATACTACGACAATCTGCGGACATAATAAACGTGATAAATGTAACTTATATGTATTCGGATTTTTGCGACCTTGAAATTTGTCAACTTTGAGCTTTTTTTTAACACTGACTGCCACTTGAGATTATTTTTAAGAAATCGCCGTTAGAAAAAAAAACGGGGTCTACGTTGAAATCCCGAAGAGTACAATTCGGAATTGTATTCAATGTAACACCAAAACGGGTATAATTAAAATGTCTTGTTTATTACCTATTATCCAATTTAATTATGTGGCATGGAACGTGCTGTTACGTCGACTAAATATATAAAAGTATTATTTCTCCAAAATGCCGCGGCCATAAAAATGCGTGTACTCAATCGACAAATTTGGGTTGTGAATTCACTCTTTTATTATCTTCAACATCCAGTCGCCGATGATTATAACATAACGACTCACAACAAACACACAATTGCATGAGAGAACCAAAAAGTAATTATCATCGTCATCGTGGTACAAGACAAGCATATGTCAATAGAAATTTATAATTTGGGGAAAACAAATACCGAGGGTGAAGGTGTCTATGGCCTAAATTGCAGGTCGCGTTGTCAAAAACAATCAGCAATTTTAACAAAATGCCATCACAAGCATGATTCGCAATGATTTCAAAAGAAATCCCCACACCCCCTACCTTTTGATAATGTGATCCCAACCGTCCAGATGTTGGAAAAATGAAAACTAAAAATCAAACTCTCACGTTAGCCAACTGTGAAAGTTTTAGCGGGTGGGTCTTCTGTGATTCTAATGAAGTAACAAAATCTGAAATACATTGTAATACCTCTGTGTCGTCGTCCATTGGAACATAGAATATCTCGTCCCATAATCGTATCCCGGTTGTATGTGGCTTAGTGCCAGACATGAAGGGAATGCGCTCACGCAGATTGTTCAAATGTTCCGATGCTTCACTGATCCAATATTTTTTATTCATCCATTCATCCATCCATTTGTTATTTTCCCACTAAAAAGACGAAACAAAATATTCTTGGCCATAACGAACACTTTTTTCTACCAGACATTTATTAAATACTTTTTTAGGGTACTGATCGACCTTTGCGAACGGCGCGTCCCCCGGCATTCGACGCGAAATAGCCTAACGATCGACCAAAATGTCGCCGCTTTAGAATCTGACAGGTCATAAATACAACACGTCATAACTACAACTAGGAATGTTACAGAACGCTTTTTTTGCGCCAATACATGTACGCATCACGTCTGCTGGGTACCGTTACGCCGTGACGGAGTGCGGCTGATAAAAAAAATTTGCCTGCGGTAACCTGGAATTCCAAATTTCATGAAATTTAGGCCTAACTTCGATAACATACACGACTATGACTTCGTTTTTGGATTTTTTCATTAGCGGATAAATTTTCCAACATTCGGAGCTTCTAAAAATAGGTCTCAAGTTAAACGTACTGCAAATTAATGATATATATTAAGGTGCCCAACCTGATTTCGACGGCCATCGACTAAAGTCTTAAAAATAGCTCGCGATCGACTGATCGGTAATATCCAGGCTTGACCATGGGACATATTTTTCTGTCCCATTCCCATGGAAATTACGCCTGTCCCATCCCATGGGATTCCCATTGGAATACAATTCGACAAAAATTGTTAAGTTTAGGTTTAAGATCTACTACTAAATGGGATTACATGTACGAAGAGACATGCAAAACGACAAAATTTACGGACTTTGTTATTTCTCTATTCATAAATATTATACATGTCTCCATCAGCCTCCTCGCAAAGTATATTGTTAATGCTGAATATATTTTGCTCTTTATAACTAACAAGAGAGCTATGCTCAAATATATGGACACGAAGTTCGTAACGACATGTTTCACGTAACGACATGTTTCATACTCCCCAAAATCATACGGTTTTCGCGTCCTACGTGTACCATGGGAAATACATATGTGTCCCATCTCCTAGGACGTTTGTCCCTTTCGCATGGACAAGCCTGGTAATATTACACAAAACTGAGTGAGACTACTGAAGATGCAGATAACTGCACACACCCATACAAAAAATTCACTGCAGCATTCCGATCGGTTCCGTGGGCGCATTCTCAATGAAATCGCCCCACCAAATTAATTTTTATGTTCAATTTAATTTGATTATGAAACTGTACCAGGCGTAAATGTTTATTCATTTATTTAAGATTTATTTGAATCATACAATCAGATCTAAGGCCTGCCTAATTCGTAGTCGTAGGTGTTGAGTATCCATGTAGTACTATAATCTAAATAGCGAAATAAAAATATTCTCAAACCATTAATGTTACATGTCTGCTCAAATTTAAGAATCTGAATTACAATTTCCGATTCTTCGTTCGCTTGGAATTAGAAATAATTAGGCATTCTGATGTCACTGCTACCGTTGCGAATACAATTTATCACATTACTCTTGTAGCGAAACTTTCATATACTGCAAAAGTAATTGTAGGTTTGTTTGTCAGTCAAGACACGATATTCGGCAAAGTTCATTTTTAAACTTTGGCAACGGCGAAATTTTTTCGTGATAGTATGCTCCATCGGGCTTGTTCACACTCAAATACAGTACTGTATGTTTATGTACATCGAATTTTGCGCATGTACAGTACTGTATTCTTGCAGTTTTACCACACAACAGGCGCTACATGAAACTGGTCCGTGGCAATCGTTTGAGGTACGTTAATAAATCCACTTAACATCAGACGTGTTGGCCACCCCTGGTATATATTGTCTAATGCAGGGGTGGGCAAATTACGGCCCGAGGGCCAGATCCGGCCTACCGGAGTGTTTCATCTGGCACACTTGAAACTACGACTGTAGTTTCTATGAATATACATATTTATTAAAAATATCGAGGGAAGTAACGAATCATTGGCTAATATGAATACCACAATTCCCAGCGTATTATCCGCATCTAAATATGATGAGCAAACCTAGCCGCATATACCTCAAATTCAACCATTCGAATTATTTAGGTCATTCTAAAACACAAGCGTGTCTGCCAAAACTTGCTTGCTGTGTGCCACAGGGACACGAAATTTGCGATTTGCAAGAAAAAGAAGCGTTTTTAAACTGTAGCGGGCCTCCTAAAACAAAACTTATAATATTCTCTGTTTTATTTGTAGTATTTAATATTGCCGCTTTCAATCTAGAAAATTTGGGTAGCGGATTCGCTTCTTTATTTATATTTAGCATCTCGTCGCAGATGATTATGATATACTAACTCACAGTTCCGTGCGAGAACAAAAAAGTAATTATCTTATCTTGAATTTTGCAGAACCGAAACGCGAGACAGTCGTCACGCGGAATAAAAACAGTGTTCTCATGAAAAATAGAAATTTAGCAAAATTTTGGATGAAATATCAGATATCATAGGATTCATATAAAATTTAGAAATAAATAAAAACAATAACCTTCTCCGGAAAAATAAAGTCTTTCACCACTGAAAATTAATAAATGGTAAATATATTGTTCATTAAATAGGATAGGATATGGAAAGCGCTAAATCAGTTGATTTTTGGGTATGCTTGGACTTGCATAGTGGAGAATGGTCATAGAGGTCATGCGAAGTTTGATAAGTTTAGAGGCATTCTCGTACATAAGTAAGTTGAAAAAAAAAATTATTGGAAAAAATTTGTAGACTTTGTTTCAGTGGTTTCTTATATTCTCATAATCTTCTCGTTCAAAATTTTATTCGAATACCTTTAAAAATAGCAGAGATACGATTTGTTGTTTATTGTGTCTCACATTCTTGCGGTTGCAGTTTTTGAGTCAGCTAACCTTATGCGAGAAATATTAGCCGCTCAGGCGGTACAAAAATGCCGATATCTTCGTTTTTTCTTGGTCGTTTTTTGCAAACTTTGGTATTGTTTTCTTGACTTATATTTATCCACTGACGCAGTTTCTATTCAAACCCGATGAACTTTTTATTTTTTTTTTGTAACATAACTTCTACAATGCGTATGCGTACATGTCACTGATATCTGTATGGTTTTGAAAGGTATATTGACGATAGGAATAGAACTGACAATTTTCTACATACATGTTTTGTTTTTACCTATTTAATATAAAAGAAACAAATAATAAAATAATACAGCCACTCCGAAACCGAACGGGTAAGAAAAACTGTTTTAAAACGAATCACTAGTGGTACGCGGAGAGGTTACAGGCGATACGCGAGTGTAGTCGGTTTTTTTGTTTCGATCGAAACGAGTATTTTGTTGGGGTGACTTTCGATACGCTGTGAGCAAATGTATGGAAAATAAATGCAACAATCGCATTGAATCAGGGTCTTCTAAGCCGTGGCCCGCTAAATGGTTCCGAGTGGCCCGCATGATATTTTTCGAAATTAATTTATCAAAAATAAAACCCGATGTATTTCACAAATCTGAGCCACTATCGACTCCAGCATTAAAAATATTTATCCCCTGCCGTTTGAGCGCGAAAAACATCACTTAGGTATTTATGACGAAAGGTTTCTTTAATCTTATTGCGGACGTTATTGCTAGAGAGTTATCGGGATATCATTATATCGTCGAAATAATAATTTCCAAAAATTTTCGAGACAGCGTTTTCCATTTACTTGGCTGTAGTAAGCAAAGTAGTATTAAGAACGATTTGTCTTCTTCAGTGAATTATATTAAACCTCCCTTTCCCAACGAGCCGTGAATAAGAATTCAGATACCAACCAATAGCTGATATTTATACATCGTGTCTATGTTATCTTTGTGTGAAATAAACTTCTGAAATCGACTTAATGCCAGTTCTACAAATTCAAATTTTTATATCTGATAGGAAAACTTAGACACGTTACGTTGCTAGGTACTTGTACTAATGACAAAACGGCCAACTAAAAAGTCGTTAAACTCACGTGACATTGGCGCACATTATGCTCATACAATATCATAGCCACTAGAAATAAACAAATAAAAAACACCAATGTTGACGTCTTCGTCTGTTAGCGAAAGGTGTGGGCAGACTTTCGTACGTTGGCCAGAAATCTTCTAGTGTGCGTTGTGCAATCAAAGAGTTGGATTCAACAAGGCGAAAGTGACGTGCCGTATCCAGGTCACGTGATACCAGATATTCGAGTAGTGAACTGCTATTTTATTTAATATTCGATAAGATACAACTCGCTTACAGCTCTACTCAATAATCAGAAATTATTGTCAAACAATGCTTCAACACACGAGTAGGCTCTATTTGTACTCAATTTATGAATATGTATATATTTGTGTACTACTCACTCCTTTGTTTCTGAGATATCGCAGAATGAAGTTGAGCAGAAATGACTTTCCTGTTCGCAGTTTCCCTGCTATTGAAATTATTGCGATCGGCCTATCTCCAATTTCCTTCCTCATAAGAATGCGCCTAAGAGCATCGTGGTCGATTCTCATGTTTCCGTCTGCAGTTTTACGAGTAATAAGTTTGTTTGAACTTGCCATCTAACGAAACAAACGAAATGATATATTAATTATATTTTAGTTATGCTAATAACAGCCACATGATTGAGTGACACAAATACGTCGTAACTGGGTTTTTGTTCGAAATATTTAAAAACGAAATTGAACTCACCGTATTTTAAGGCTCAATAATTAACAATATATCCTGTTTTGAATTTTCAACAGTCCAACATGAAACCCTTGTTTGGAATCTCGCGGTGATGCATGAAAATAGTTTACTGCGATTGCAAAATATTGTATTTAAATTTTATCGATAATAAATGCTAAATATGTATAAATAAATCTGTTATTACAGCATTCAAGTTCTTTCTTCATTATAATGATAGTTCAATGCAGTAAAAACTATAGTAACGAATGGGATATGTAAATACCAAAGATTACGTTCATATATTGTTTATTCACAGCAATAATCCAAAATCTCGTTTTCGCAATTTTGCAGAAATTGCAATATATTATATTAATTAACTGCTACTTTGTCGCATCAGAAATGAATAGCAATACAAGTTACCAATCACCTAGAAATAATGAAATCCAATGCATTTTGCAAGACAAGGGACATCTAAACCTCATACCAGTTCACCTCCCCTCACATTAGATTCTGCGCAGACTCATTTCAAAACAACAAATGAGATACTAGAACTATATTTTTGGTGACCGTACATTTGAACCCATGTACATTTGAACCCATGCGTATATCCACGGGTTCAATCTATATGCGGGTGCTAAAACCCATGGGTTAGGGTTAGTATGGGTTTAACTATCCGTGTAACAAAAAAAATTCCGTAGGTGCAATAGCATACAGGTGCAATTGTCATGGGTTCAAATGTACGTGGGTTCAAATGTAATGGAACCATATTTTTATATGCCACCGAGAAAAACAAAGCAATAAGAGTTGTGCTGCAAAATCTCGACGGATGAAACAGGAAGTGGCGCGTAATTTAAAGCGTCTCATTTGAAACCACTGTGACTAACAAACTACGATGGCATACAATACACCTCGTTGCACAAATTGCAAGTCAGACGTTTCCAAATTATTGACATTCAAGACGTTTTTACATTCTGTAATATAAGTCACGGCGCAGACATCATCAACACAAATTGCGAAAAGAGTTTTTATATATATTAATATTAAATGAATGCAAAAAGAGAGATTGTTTTCAGTGCTGCTGCGAATATCCGATGTACACAGTCGTAATTTTAACAAATACAATCATTTTATATCAAGTTTTATTCGCGATCATATAATAGATATTTTCGACTACGAAAAAGTGGACAACTGAGATCCATATAATAGACGCTCTTATAAGGTCCACAACAAAACCCAACTTTTGAATGTCAGGATTGTTCATCAATTTATCAAAAGATAAGCCCTTTAAAATATCTTCTATTTGACCTAACCAAAGTCAGACGCGATAGAAATTGGTTTCCTCCTAAGAGTTCCATGCGACGCAGTTGGTTTGTATGCTCCAATGAGCTGTGACAAGTTGCGCCTCACCAAAGTTATGTGCCTGAAACAGTAAACAGTGAATGACGTCAATTGAAGCAAAAAATTGAACAATCCCAGAAGATTTCAACTGTTTTTTGGCAAATTTGAAAATACTTCTGAGAAGCTTAGTTTCTACCACTTCATAATGGCTCCTACCGCGGACAAGCCGCGCCTTCTCTTACCGTGGTTTTATGGCGAGATTGCCGGTATACTCACAAAGTCACGTACCAGATTTTAATTTATCATGCGAAATTATATCTACTTAAACCTGAAATCTAGTCCCAAATCAATTAAAACTGTATCCATAAAGAAGATTAACTTACACAAAATGTTCACCTCAAGGGCAATCCTGCCATTACAGCCTACATGCCTTGGTTTGTGGCAGCACAATTTTACCCGCCATGGTTTTCATTTTCTGTCGTGGTATCCCGCCTCACACAACCAAGTCAACCAACAAAAAAAGTCAACCAAGACAGGAAAAAGACAACAATTTTGCAAGTACAAAAGCCCCATGATTTGTCAGATTTTAAGCCCTTGGCACAGTACTGATGCTGATGTAGAGCCATCCGTTCATTTAGTGAGCCAGACAAATGTTTTTTCCCATTGTAAATTGTATTTTCGGTTGCTATCATGTCGATTCGCACTTCAGCAGGATGAAGGGTTTAAAAGTAGCAAGGATTAATTGAATGGCAGCACCACAATCTACATTCAACACAATACAGTCAAGCTGATATCTATATGAAACAGTTTTAAAAAATCAAAAAACCAAATAAAAAGGAATATTAAGCGGACAGCATTATTTTACCATTCAATATATATATATATATATAATACAGGGTGCCGTTTCAGTACCGTATGTGATGTTTTTACTTAAACTTATGATATATCTTGAAAAATTCTCCCTATATCGTACTTTACTATTTAAAATTTTGAAACCATCAATTCTATTAAAAATGATCTAACCACGTGCCGCTCACAGATAATACTGATAGCTAATTCAGTAATTTTAGCGTAATGAATCATAAATAACTCGCATAACTATAAAAACGAGGCAATGTTTACAACCCTGCTTTAATATTTCTGAGTATCTGCAGAAACTGCAATTATTGTAATAAACAAGGAAATCGATGCTCCTGTACTTGGGGAAATCTAAATGTTAAGTAGCTAAGTAGACTACTGGTAATAGGCTATAATCACGCACTAAATATTGCATTTCATATAATTTTGATAATATACACTAGAATAGTCTTAAAAAAGTCAAAAAAAAAAAAAAAGTCAAACGTGTTTGAAAAATGGCAAATTTGCCGTCAAAAAAGCCAATATGGCAACCCTGCTCACGCCACGTCATGGTTTGGAAATCTCGCCATGGTTTTGCGGCAGCTTCACACGCCACCAAGGTACTTAGAACTTGACTTTTGAGAACATGCGCTCAGCGCATGTCTATGTTTTTTGAGAGAATTGCCAGACAGGCATTGTGAAAAAATTAGGGTATTCTCGAATATTTTTTGAGACACGAAGCGATAAAGTCGCAGAGCACTAAAGAAAAGCCTTCCGTCCGTTTTTACTGTTTCTTTATAATATTTACATTGGACTAGAAAAGTTAATTTTTAAAGCGATACGGTGATACCTAAAAGAAAGAAAGATGATGACTATCGTGGATTTCAGCTTGAATGAACAGAAAAATTTGTGTTTGTTGAGACAACAGATCAATTAGTTCAGTGATTCTCAACCGCATGCACCTCTCAACTATTCTTCCTGCGGTTCTCATTATCCTCAAAAAACATTAATCATTTTCATTGAAGATTCATCAATGACTTGAAATTGAAAGACTGAAGTGCAGTAGTTGAAATTAAGTCATAGTAGCTGCTTAGGTCGTTTTGAGTGCAACTTTTTTTATTATGATGTCATGTTGTTTTCCCCACAATGTTCAGCCTGCATTTCAGCACACTGATTCCATTGTTTTCAGTAAACACAAGCAGGCTATCCCGTGCACTGTGCAAAGTTTAGGTATTTTGAACAAAATCTTTATTTGTTAGTGTGTCAAGACAGGGTGTCAAGCAAACCTTCAAAATAGTTCGCACTCTTCATAAATATAACCATGCGTTTGAATGTGGTTGGAAAGAGAAGTATTTTGAAACAGATATGAAGCTAGCTATTGATATGTATATATACAGTATATATATATTGATGACAAATGCATCTATAACGGTTGCTTCAACACGTTATTCTCGATTTCTGCTAGGCGAAACCTCCGGGGTTCAACTTGTAGAAGCTTGACGGGGTGTGACCTTTGAAAACCATGCTTGCTACAAAAAGACGAATGGTGCTGAAACCGTTCTCCAATATTTCCAGTCCAAACGCTCTACCAGTCAATTTATTATGAAATCAGATGACAAATAGAGTATGGAGGTTTTCTAAATAAAATAAAACACACGATAATCGCTAGAAGTTTTCCACATATAAAATAAAAATCCCGAGTTCAATGCAACAAGTAATAAACTATTAGCAAAGCTAAATGAGCATACGACAAGAAAGAAATCATATGCAACCCAATATTATTATCATTATATAGCCTATTAAAATGCTAAATCACCCCGCCAAAGGATCATTGCAGAAGCATAATAGCTATGCGGCATTTCTCTATTTAATCCTACCACATGAAATTACAATAAAGATATAAAATGAGGAAATATCACGTTGCAGTACTTATTAGCAATAAAGAAAAAAATAGCACTAGAGGCGATGGAGATCCAACACAATGGTGGTAAATTTTGTAGTTTTGATACGTTCACGAACGACAATCTGAATGAGATAATGTGGCGGAAGACTTCATTCGAAATTTCATATCTAGAATCAATTTCCTTAGATCGTTAAATGTATCATTTTATGTGTTTCCACAAGTCTAGATTTAGCCAATTTGCATACCTTTTATCATCGATGGCATAGATTCACTGACGAGCATTATTACAGCAATTGTAACTAACTTTATTTGGCAGACATAGCATTTACGTCGCTATTGGACAAATTATTAGGATTAGTTGAGTCTTCATAAACATTCCTTTGTCCAACAATTTTGCAAGTAGTAGGTATAAACTTAACCCACACATTTCAAAAAAGTTTCTTACTTCAAAAGTTAAATCAAACGAACCTAATTTTTGTTGAAGAATTTTTGATAAATATTTATCAAAAACCGTATTCCATTTGAAATACATCGTAATAATTTAATTTTTTATTGATGTTCAGATGATTTATCACTGTTATGCGACAGGTTCAGTTTCCAACTTTTCTCCATTTTCTTTTGAGACGTTCTCATTTTCTTCCTTCGACTTTGCCCATTCCTGAACTTCTACGGTGCCGAATATCAGAAATGAAATTCCTCCCGCAAAGACAATCGATGTTGATAACCAGAACAATGCTCTCCATCCTTGTATTGGATCGTCTTGCTAATATTTAGGTAAAACAATAAATAATATGCAGGGCGGGCTTCAAACTATGCGGGCCCCATAAGAAAGCATTAACGCGGTTCGGTCTGAGTATTAATGAGGGAAATTTGGTTTTCGTAACGAAAGCAAATTTGTCTTTACATTCTCATATATACCCTTCGCCTAAACCAAAATCACGACCAAACTAACCTCACAAGCATTGATTATAGTGAAGTCATGCAGTATGTTATTTGAATTATCTTTTCTACCAAGATGATGCACAATGGTGAGAACTGCCAAGAGCAGCCCATGAAAGTGCGGGGCCCGCTTAGGTGCATACAGGGGCGTAGCCAGGGAGTGGTTTTGAGAGTCGAAACCACCTCCCCCCCTCTCTTTTAGAATGTAAAAAAAATAAAATGCATCTTTCTGCCTCAATAATTGTAATGTTTCGTAGTTTAATACGCCTTTTAGACCGTCAAAACTCATGAAAACACACGTTTTCTGGCGTTCGGCCGGACCCGCTAGCTGTTTCGATCTAACTTGGCAAATAAAAATTTTAGACATGGGTTCAGACATAGGTTGCAGTGGCATATGGCCGGACCTGGTAATATAAAGACTACAGTATTATATTTGAGCTTGGCGCACCAAGGAGCGTCAAACTTCGGTGTAGTTTGCGACGTCAGGTTTGTGCGTTAATTTTTGTTTAACAGAACATTATTTTGTAATATGCCACAATACACTTACGTAAACTGTTCGTAAAAGACCTGCTATTTGAGGTACAATGAAACCACACGACGCTGAAATTGTGTTTGCAACTGAGAAAATTATCCCTCCAAAAGATGGCGCCATTTCGATTAATGAAACTTTATAACACCAGGTGTAGTGACCGCTTCCATCCCAACTGTAAAAGGTGTAGAATGTAAAATCAGAAGAATATTTTAGTAAAGATCTCATCAAATTTTCATTTAGGTCTGAAATTGTTCTATTCTAACTTGTGAAACAGTAACAGTAAAACTTGTGAAAGTTACTGTTGACTGAAATTGTTAGTTACGCATTAAAGATGATTCCATATACTAACAGCATATTTTAGTAACACCATTTTTAAATGTACTTTATAGCATATACCAGGGGTCTTTGACCTGTTTTTGACCGCGACCGACTAAAATCTTCTAAACAGCTCACGATCGACTGACTGATATTATAACTGCACACAAGCATACATAAAATTAAAAAATTGGTCATTCTGATGTCACTGCTACCGTTGCGAATACAATACTCTTGGAGTGAGACAATAACTTTCGCATACTGCAAAAGTTATTGTAAGATCGTTTGTCAGTCAAGACACTCGATATTCGGCAAGTTCATTTCTAAACTTTGGCAGCGGCGAAAATATTTCATTTGTTACATAATAATATGCTCTATCGGATCTGTCCAGACTCAAGTACACTGTATGTGTATATCGTATTTTGCGTATTTTGCAGTACTGTATTCGCTCTGTTTTAAAGCATGAAATGACATGAAACTAGTTTAGAGCAATTTCGGGGGCTATGTTATTAAATTCACCACCCAACATCAGACACGATCGACTCCTCGAGACGCGGCGATCGTGATGGACGTGTTGGCCAACCCCGGCATATACCACTGCCGGCCTTCACATACTTCCCTCAATTGTTCTTTTTCAGCAGAAAATATGAAACTATTCGTTATGCAATGCACATGCTTTTTTAAACTTACCGCACAAGGTGAAAGCCAACATGACCAGTGGAATGCTGCATTTTACATAGGCTGCGAGGATCAATGCGAGTCCAGGAATAAACATACCTGAAGAATAAAATTACTGAAATGACTCATAGAATCTAATATATATCATGGGTCTTATAAGTTGTTCATCACTCCCAAAATATTGCTTCCTCAATTTAAGTTTGAATGTTGAGTTTGTATTCGGTATAATGTCGTAATCGTTAGAAAAAGAATTTCATAATTACCTCTACGAAAATGAGGAAATTTACTTAACACTTGAACTTCTGTTTGTACATGATAGTACCCATAAGTTTTAGTAATCTTTAATTGTTGAATTGCTGCATTTATACCCTGCGTATCCGTTAAGTAAACCTACCGATCGACGTAAATAGTTTTCGAACATAGATGACTTTTACTCCATTTGAAATCAGTCGCTTTGCACAAAATCCTGCACATAGATATGAAAAGAACTTTGCAATGTAAGGAATTGCACTCAATCCTGCGCTCTGTAAAAAGCAAAACAAAGAGAATATGCTGTGTGTCTTCATTAACATGTATCTGCATGATTTAACTCTTATATTACATTACATCGTCAAAATTCTATATCTGGCAGTTGATATTAGTGTTTTCGGGGGCGAATCATTTATTGATTACTTCATCAAACATTCTATTTGTTCTGAATTTCCTTTTAAAAATAAGAGAATTATTATAATTAAGCCATTCAACAAGCCAAAGTTGAATTAAATCACTGTCTGCAGACCATAGCATAGCGGAAATCATTACATGAATAAATACTTGTATCACGAACCGATTTGATGTCAAACTTCATGACAGTCCTGAGATACGTTGGAAGCATTGTCAAAAATACGATCAGAAGGAAATCTGAGGAAATGAAGGCAATAAATGCTACCCATAGTCGAAACGACCCAAGAATTGACTTCCACGGCACCGGTCTCGATCGTTCTTTCTGTGACTGCAAGGTAATGAATGAGTGTAAGTATATCAGTTGGAAACATTCAAATCTTATGTTGTTTTAGTAATTAAGTTTCCTATTTGGGAGATGAGAAAGAGTTTTTTTTTCATCTTTCGCTCTGCACTAGCAACCACATCTGGATAGAAAACTACTATTGTTTGGGAGGACGGAATCTTTTCGGTTCCGCATTGTTCACCCAAATTATTACTAAATGGTTGAGGTGACGGGCAAAAGATTTGACCCTAGTTTTAAGCTGCTATGACAACATAATTAAGTCTTCACCATGTATAGCCTATTCTGGATTAAAACTTAATTTAATTTTAATATTTCATTCTTAGTTATATAGTGTAAAATACAAATATTAAACAAACTTTTCCGTCTCTGTTATGTCCAAGTGAATCCTGTATGAAGTTCCTCTCCTCTTCCAAAATTCTCGGATGTTCTGAGGGAGAATCGTATATCAGGATCAACCACAAAAGAGACCACACGCACCCAATTGAACCTGGAACATGGTAATATCATCAGATATCAGTAAATGTTGTACGGTGCTTTTATTCATAAAAAAAGACATTCATCAAGTTTGAAGTACCAAGTACATAGCAAAATATAATATTTGACAAGTTTCGTCATTTCTCAGATAGGATCCGAATTTTTTTGTTGTTTGGTATTTTTTGCATAATCAGTTCGGATAAAATAACTGGTACTCTCGAAGTATGTGAACCAAGATGGCGGTCACCGACACGTAGTATGTGTACCAGGTTAGGAAGGTTGGGCCATGATTTCAGGTACCAATACTACGGAACAAATACTAGTCCCCGAACTCGTAATAGATCTGAAATAAGGTTATGGTCCAACTCTAACCTGGTACACAATTACACATACTATACGTTCCGGTATCTGCCATCTTAGTTCCCAAACTTCGGGAGTACCAAATAACTAGAATGCAACATATTCAAATACAAAGCAATAGAACTGAACTATAATAAAATCAGATTGAAGACAATTTATTGAACCAAGCTATTTTAGCTTTAGAATTTAATTGGGATTTTTTATATAAAAATCATATTTCAATTCTGGAGTGTATACAAGTAAGTGGAAATACGATAACTTATATATAAAGAGGGCTTTCATGATGTTCTGTTACAATTTCAATTTTCAGTCAGTTCTCAGTATATCTTAACCAGGTTTGTTTTATTATAATCAGTATTTAATTAATTATTTTTTATTCAATTGAGTAAACCTTTAGGGGCCAACTACTACCGTAGCAATAAATTTTATTTGCAATTTGAAAATTTTCCAAGATTATATGAACTCCCCGCACATTTATATGTTGGCATTAGGCGTCAAACTATCTATATATTTATTCTAGATATAACCTGTTACATAGAACATCGATTGCCAACCGAAGGTTGCAGCCAACAAGCCAGAAAGTGGTAAAGTTGCTACTACTCCGACTGCTGTCCCTGCAATAAAATAGTATAACATTAAATAATACCGTATAGTAAAAAGAATGAATGGCGCACAGACAATGGAATTCTATCTAGGTATAAGAAATATACCATGAGAGTTATAAATCCTTGATTTTTTAAGTGTTTTTAGGGTAGGGTTTTAGGGTATATTCAAAGTGAGAAATTTCATTCAGATCGGTCCCGCAGGTAAGACGCTACTTCCAGACAGACATACGAAACCATCCAGACAGAATGATTGGGAATAAGGAGCTCTTAAAAGGGAGGTAGAATATTCACCCGAAAATGTGGTCCCCAACAGTATTCCTCTTTCAGAAGGTGGTGCCCACATCGTCCACATTGCATACATTATTGGAAAGGTAACGCCCTAAAATAGTTCAAAATTGTTTACATTTGGTTATTCAGTTATGAAGTAAATTTTGAAGGGTTGACAAAAACTATAGAGAGGGACTCTACGTAATATACTAAGCATGTTTCTAAATATCAGAAAATTTTCTTATTTTTTACCCCTATAGCTTTCTTTGCTCAATGTCAGAACTAAATATCGTATTTATTGGATTATACCCGCACTTTGTACAACGCACTGTACTACTTTTTGATTGAAAAAAGGTATACATTTTTACTTTATGTTTATTACTCGCGTATAACACGCTTCCTTAATATTTGGTCGAGGATCAGTACAAAATTTTGCGCGATATACTCGAATAAATGCAGTATAACTGAAATACAACGTCAACGGACGTGTATATCCGCGGGTACAATCTATATGCGGATGCTAAAACCCATGGGTCAGAGTTAGTATGGGTTCAAATATCCGTATAAAAAACAAATTTCCATAGGTGCAATAGTGTGCAGGTGCAATTGTCGTGAGTTTAAATGTAATGGAACCTAATAACGCATGAATTCCAATCTTGAACGAAATCAAACAAGTTATTTACCGAGAATAAACCAATCGCAATTCTCGCTATTACAAACATTTCAAATCCTATCTCAAGAGCTGCTGGTGTGAGAATTGTACACAACGATGCAGCAAGACATGAAAATCCCACCACTTTAACGCGTCCAACTTTTCGGGCAATCCATGCTCCAATAATCTGAAATTAGTTGAAACTTTAGGGCTGAGAATGCTATCAAATAGTGGGATAATTTGTCAGATTTTAGAGTACACGTATGTCTGCTACTATAACTATACTACTATAACGTGTCGTCAACCGATGCATTTCCAATTTCCAGTGGATATCACTCATGCGGTTGGAGTCCAATAGAATAGACCACGATAACAATTAATGTTTCATTTCCCTAATGCTAGCTCAGGCCGAGAACTGACTCATGTTGGAAGGCTGATCTATTTATAGACAACTGGTAATTGTGTATACAGGGTGTTAAAAAAGTAACACAAAATGAACTGAATTTGAGATGATCTACTTAAAAACCATGTAACGACTGACACCTTTTAACAGTATTGAATGACGGTAAAATACTATTTGAACATTTCACGACTGACGCTTTTTAACAGTTACTTTTCTAAGGTTGCCATGACGAAAAATTTTGCCCCAATTTTGCGTAACTTTTTTACCACTCTGTAATATAAGTTCTCCAATCTCAGGTAATAGAAATTGACACAACTTTAAGCCTAATACCATATTTTCCAATCTCGATCGAACTCTCTGAGTCGACCATTTTTTTTATTTTGCATTTTCTGGACCAGTATGGTTTTCAACCGGTCCTCCGCGACCCTCCAGAATTCCGCTGGTACAGTCTGGTTATTACGCAAGTTACACTCAAATTCTAGGGTCTATAATATTATATGTATATTGTTTAAAAATTTAAATGAAATACCAATTATTAAACTTGCTACACTTTGAAGATCATTTTTGGATCTTTCAGACAAAGCTCCCGCCAAAAACACCCCCCGCCAACGCTATAATATGAAAATTGGTAATTATCCAGTTAGGGTTGAGAATGCAATTTGCGCTGAAAATTCATTTATTCAAATCATTCCTAACCCTAACTATGTTATAACTAATTCCCTATTTTAAAATATGACGGGGTGTGTTTGTCAATGCTCTCATTTGTGCACAAAAGAACCTCATTTTTGCCAGCATCAGGTTTGTTTTTATATATATTTGTAGCCTGTACAATTCTTCTTACAGCATTACGAGCATTGAACAGAGCCTCTATGGTCTATCAAAATGGTTAAAAACCACTGTTCTAGACAATTAGCCGAACTGATCATTCTTTGTGAATATATTTCTATCTGATATAATTCTCCTACCTGTGAACATACGTATCCATAGAAATAAGCTCCCAACGCCAAACCTTGCATATTTTCATCCCATAAAAACTTCTTACCTTCTACTACAGCTGGCGTTTTGATATCTATAATGTTATAGAGAAAATAGTGTAAGCAGTAATTGAAGTTATTTTGAACAAAATTGATTGAGAGCATAGACGTAACCAGAGAGACGCAACTTCTTTTTAAATGCCATTTTGCGTAATTTGCAGCGCAGCGAGAAATAAATTCTTACATCTTTTTCGAGGCTATTTTGCTTTTTCGAGTTATTATTAGATATCAGAAGTTGCTTTCATTCAGCTTTGTTTGGAGCAAAAGTCACGACTAAAAAGCGTCATAATACATCATTTTACAATGAGAAACTTTGACCCCCACTTCCTAAAATTTTGTACTGGCTACGTTTTTGACAGTGAATTATAGAAAACGCCAATTTTTTTTTTGTGCTCATGACTCGAATCCTTTTCTGTCGTTGAATAAGCAGGAATATTATTTCACAACATAGCTGAAAATGTCATGTCAGACACACGTTTTTTTTTAACTATTTTTGTAGAATGGGTCCAGCACAAACGCAACAATGTAAAATAATATCCATCACCTTCTTTTTTATCATAATAAGCATGTTCACATCTTGAATACGTGAAATGTAGAGATTCATTCTGCAACCGACTTGTATTATGTAAACTCAAATTGAACTGAGCGTTCCTCAAAGCATTCAGATTTTCGTAGTCGACCATGCCCACGATGGCTGCGCTCAAGTTCATTCGTAAAACATACAAGCAGAAGATTGCAAGAAAATTCATCACAAGCACGATTGATCTTGCAGGAATGCACTTGCAACAAACCTAAAATGATTTATATTATATTATTGTAACATCTCTACATTCAGAACCAGAGATGTGGAATCGAATAAAATCACAATTCCGAGACTGAGAGTTGGAAATACGACTCCGACTCTAAAGAAATCAGGCCCAACACCGACTCTACATTCCTGTTCAGAACACGCTTATATAGATTTAACCGCCTAAACGTGGAGGATTACCTCGTCAAAATGTAGAAAGGAAACAGGAAAAGAAATTCTTATTAGTTTAATATTTATAAAAAATGTCACCTGAACTTTCTGGTTTGCGTTTTCCATACAAACGTTCATCCTGAAATCCTTTGTAAGACACATTCGAAAATAAATATATCTAACTTTATAAAATTGTAAATGTATAATAAAAGTCACACTACAGTACTATCAATTTCATAATTTGGCACTGCATGAGGCTTAAGTTTATAACTGTATTAACACCAATTATACGCCGCCGCGTGAGAAGTGTCGGCACAGAACAGCAAGATAAGATAGAGAGACAAGTAAAAAGATTCCTGTTGTCAAAGATGAAATCAAATAACTTTGGATACGAAAGGGGGAGGAAATAAAAAGAACGTTATGCCGCTTCTCTGCATAACAACTCATTTGAGTATTCGATCTAAAAAGATTTGAGACATCCAAGTTCATGGCGGCTATTCACATTTGAAGCGGACGTTTCTGCTTATCAAAGGAGTTTCTGTAATGAATTTGTTTTGGCAGCGGGATCTTTGTGGAATTTAGTTTCGCTATTTTTAGCTTCATTGCTTCGAATTACTATGCGTCGCTTTACGCCTTCACTTCGAGTAAAATGCCATCTGTCATCTTGAAATAATTCACTACCAGCGATTTGTCATTCTGATTACTTTTTTTTAATCCTTATGAGAAAAATCGCTCAGCTACTGGACCAATTGTTTTGTAATTTTCAGTGGTTAAAATTTGTATTTTTCGCTAGAAGACTATCACTTATAATTATTTCAAATTTTTTGTCGGCTTTATAAGATTCGTTTCTCGTGTACGATGACGTCATCAAAAACTTGCGCACTTCTGGCGGTTTCACGATCACGTACGTCGTAAACACTGCTGGACCGGCTGTCTACTGTGCCAGATTGCATAGCCATACTACTTTGTTTTGTCTTTCGTGGGCATATATATGAGCATCTCTCACTGTACACAACTATGACTATAATGGCCATCCAGCCGTACCTTATTCTGACTTTTGCAAGCGCTCAACCGCTCTGCAAATAACGCTATACGTATATGAACTGGGCATTAAATTCCTAAGGGATAACAAACCACAGAGACATAAGAAAAATTGAACATGCATGACATCATTTGATGCGAGTAATTATCATCGGTTCGCACATCAACTGAAGGTCGTATTTCTATCGTAACTTCGAAATCTATGCATTACAAATCACTTATAAATGCGGTACATGTCAACTTCCTTGTCAATACACTTAGTGTTATAACTAACTAACTACCCCGTAATATATTTTTTTGAATTTTACGCAACAAACTTATGCGACTTTGATGCCAAAAAGTCCCACGATGATTTTGCTTGATTCTCTTTTGTTACAACATTCACTGGATAATTTTTAACTTTTCTAAATAAAATGCTCGCCTTTCGTTATTTGCTTAGGACATCGAGGCCCACAGTAAGCACGGTCATCTATTCTATAATATTATAAGGAGTATAAGCAGTGGAATTTATATCTTATCGGATAAAACGCATATTTCCAAATAACATGGTTTCAAAATTTGACTTGCTCGTTCGTGAGAGTGTTGGATATAGGATAGAGACGCGATTATCGCCAATTTACCAGGCTGAATACGATATGGTTATTTTTTATTTAGGGCACAATTTAAGCTAAATATTCATAATTTATCAACGAGTCCAGTATTCCGAAATGAGAATAGAGTTGAGAATCTTCATATAGATATGTTGTAGGCGCGTATTCAGGCAAGTCAATGTGTATACTATCCAAGTATTTTTCAAATGGACATTGTACTAGAATTTAAAAACATATATATTTGAATAAATATCCTCTAGTTTAGTCTGTGGCAAAAACGCCAATCAAAATAAATATACGATACAGATATATAAGGATATTTTATTGCTGAAATTTCAAGCACGGTTATTAAATTAAATACCGCAACATATGAAAAAATTGTGTGTGCAGAATGGAAACAGAACCGATGTCGTTTCTTGGAACACGTGCATTTGCTTTCCACCGTAACTAACTCTGTTTATCAGTCAGTCATAAACATGTGCAAAGCTATTGAACAGATTTTCAGAATCAGTTGCGTCTTTGCAATCATGCCTTTGCCCAACAACAAGTAGTTCTTGTAAACACAATCCACACATGTCGAAAAATACGTGTTTAATTACTTTGAAGAAAGAAACTAATTCTTCGTAAATTTTTTGATAAATATTTATTGAAAATCTAATTAAATTTAAATACCGTAATAGGTTGAACTATATTTATATTGTAGCAATTTCTATATGTTTATCTTAGTTATGCGACAGTTTCAGTTTTCAACTTCTCTCCATTTTCTTCTGAGACGTTCTCTTCTTCATCCTTCGACTTTGCCCATTCCTGAACTTCTACGGTGCCGAATAGCAGAAACGAAATCCCTCCCGCAAAGACAATCGCTGTTGATAACCAGAACAATGCTCTCCACCCTTGTATGGGATCTTCTTGCTAGTAGTTTGTTGGAAAAAATAATATACAAAGGCTCCAATTATTGTCGTGCCCCATGCGAAACACATTGTTTGCGGTACAGTTTGAGTATGAAGGAGAAAAACAGGGTTTTTATAATAAAAGTAAATTTGTTTTTTGGTTCTAATACCTTTATTTGAAGTAAACTAAAATCACGATCGAAGTAACTTCACAAGCATTGCTTATAGTGAAGTCATTCAGTAAGTTATCAAAATTCTATTTTCTACGTAGATGGCGCCCGATGGTGATGATGCCAAACTTCTGTGTATTGTGCGACGTCAAACTTAAGTTTTGCGCGTTATATTTAACAGAACATTACAGTAACTTAACAGTACTCTAACAGAACAGTATGTTGTAATATGCCACAATATACTTACGTAAGCTGTTCGTAAGAGGCCTGCTATTTGCGGTGCAATGAAACCAGACGTCGCTGACATTGTGTTTGCAACTGCGTAAATTATTCCTCCAAAAGATGGCGCCATTTCGATCAATGCAACTTTGACGCCAGGTGTAGTGACTGCCTCCACCGCAACTGTGAAAAATATAGAATGTGAGAGTTTAAAGATTTTTTGGTAACAGTTTTATCAAATTTTTATTTAGGTATGTTAAAATAGTGTTGATAACTATCTCTTTCAAGAAAGTTATTGTTACGTCGTATTTACCGTTACAAACTGATGATGATTTTGTTTTAATTTATTGAAATTTGCAAAATAGGGCGCTCCAGAAGTATGTGTACCAATATAGGGCTGATTTTGTTTGCCTATTTTACACCAAGTTGTGTAAAGGGACTAAAACCTATGCGAAGGGGGTGTATTCACCTGGCTAACACAGACTGAAACTCGTATTAGAACTTAAATAAGGCGAATCGGAATGAAATTATAACCTAACCCTAACCTGGTACACATACTACGGGAGTATCCAAAACAGTATATTTTATAGAATCACTTTTTAAAGTATCTTTAGATACTAACATACCTTATTGGTGGTCTTTCCATACTTTAGTCAATTGTTCTTTTTAGCATAAAATATAAACTATAGTTATTACGTTATGGAATGCATTTGTTTTCTTAAACTTACCGCACAAAATGAAGACCAACATGACAAGTGGAATGTTGCATTTTATATAGACCGCAAAGATCAATGCAAGTCCAGGAACAAACATACCTGAAAATAAAGTATAAATGTACAAACGACATAGGTTTGTATGATGGTTTTACAACTTTTCCACTCAGGATCAACCGTCTCCACAGAAAGTGAAATTATACCACATGTATTTTCAAAATACATTTTCATTCTGCACCTACCTATTGACTGAAATAGTTTACGAACGTAGATAACTTTTACTCCTTTTGAAATCAGTCTTTTTGCACAAAATCCTGCATTTATGTAAAGAACAAACTTTGCAATGTACGGAATTGCACTCAATCCTGCGCTCTGTAAAATTCGAAACAAAGTTGATATTCGTATCCAATTTTACACATATCTGCACGATACAACTAATATGACGTTCCAGATGCAGGCGCTCCCGTAGTATGTGAACCAGGATGGCGGACAACGGAACATATTATGTGATCCAGGTTAGGGTTGGGCCATAATTTGATTCCAATTTTCCTTATTGTAGTTCTACTAGGAGGTCGGGGACTAGCCAAGTGACTCCCGTAGTATTTGTACTTGAAATTATGACCTAACCCTAACCTGGTACACATACTACGTTTCGGTGTCCGCTATCTTAGTTCACATACTACGGGAGCACCCAGATGCCAGTACATATCATTTATTTTTGATTTAATATTTATATTCTCTATTGTACATTTTATTTATCCTGAAATCCATTATTCGTTTGATAAATGAGTAAATTATAAAAGTAAGCGAAAAATCAACACGAGAAAACGTCATTATTCGCGACATACTTTGGCGTATATTGTATAGCATATACTGCAATGTTGAAAGTTTTTCTTGACATTAAAAAGTTCTAGAGTGTAATTAAATCGAAGAGTGACATTAGCTGCAGCATATACAGCTAGAGGCTGCAATCACAAGACCACATAGAATAGCAAAAATAAAATATGAATTGCCAAAGATCGAGGCGAATCAGCAATTTTTTTGTTGTTGAAATATATTTTTGAAGTGCAATCCGACATGTGACTCTTTCTTTCGAGTGATTTAGTGATGGAACTTGCTTCCAAGTGTGTGTGAACACTCAGTATATGTTTTGAGTAATGGATTCCATGTTTATATATACGAGCACCAATCTTTCAAGTATTCGAGATTTGAATAGTAAAAATATATGATTCGATTCTAAAATACCCAGGTATTCAAAAATACACAGCTCTACTTGTAATACAAACCGCTTTAATGTCAAACTTCATGACAGTCCTGAGATACGTTGGAAGCATTGTCAAAAATACGATAAGTAGAAAATCCGAGGAAATGTAGGTAAAAAATGCGACCCATAGTCGAAACGACCCAAGAATTGACTTCCATGGCACAGGTCTCGATCGTTCTCTCTTTGGCTACAAAGTAATGAAGGAGGAGTACAGGCAATTAGACCAGTTCGATAAAACATTCAAATCTTATGTTGCTTTAGTAATTAGGTTTCCTCAAGTGAGAAGTGGAAATATGTTTTTTATACGACATTCGCTCTGTGCAAGTAATATTGTTTGGGAGCACCATAATATTTTCTGTTCGACAGTAGCAACCCAATTTATTACTAAATAGGTGAGTTGGTGACATAAGCTTTGACGCGAGTTTTTAATCTGTGATGTCAACATAGCTGAGACTAATGCTTTCAACTCTTGTGGCCTATTCTGGAAGAAAATTTAACCATACTCTGTATACATATTACAATTTTTGGTTCAATAATGTAAAATTAGAAATAATAAACAAACTTTTCCGTCTCTATTATGTCCAAGTGAATCCTGTATAAAATTCTTCTCTTTTTCTGAAATTCTCGGATGTTCTGAGGGAGAATCGTATATCAGGATCAACCACAAAAGGGCCCATACGCACCCAATTGAACCTGGAACATGGAAAATAGTCAGATACCAGCGGTTTGGGATAAAATATCTAAATACGCATTGTGTGTAAAACAAAAAATACATTCAAATATGGAATATTAAGTACGAAACCAAATATCAACAGGCGATTTTGACAAACTGTCGTCACCTTTTTGTAGAATTCGATTATTTCAAACAATCCATATGACGTACGCATATTGCAATGGAGCTAGAGTACGTTAAAATTAGGTTGAAGTAAACCTTTTGTAGCTGGAGTTTTCCACATAGAAAACATATTTTCGTTGTACAGGTAGCGGCTGTAGACAAGTGAAATTTGGATATCAGTCACGATAATTCTCTTTTCTCATATATATACAGGGTGTCTCAAAAGTAAGTATACACTTTTAATTTTGATTTGCTTTTAAGGTACACATTATATAGACTTATAGAGTGTTCATTTCTTCAGGAAACATAGTATAGATAAGTAGTGAAATTCAGGTGTTGTTTGCATTTTTCAACAACCCACAGAATGACAAGGAGATTAACCCGAGAAATGAGATGAAAAATTGTTGCTTGGCAAGAAGCATATAAAACAGTTAGGCAGGCATTCGGCACTTTTACGACGAAGAATTACGAAATTCTTCAAAAATTCATAGAAACTGAATCTGTAGTTGATGCACAAAGACCAGGAAGACCAAGGAGCGGACGCTCTAACGAAAACATTTGAAGATGAATTAATTTCATATTCTCTGTTACAGAAACGCTAAGTTTGCCTCACTGATTTACATACTTCTTGCCAATCAGCAATTTTGCTCCTCGTTATTTGGGTTAATCTCTTTGTCATTCTGTGGGTTGTTGAAAACCCAAACAATAAGTAAATTTTACTATTTATTTATACTATGTTACCCGAGGAAATGAACGCTCTATGATGGTTCCTGAAAAGCAAATCAAAATTAAAAATGTATACTTACTTTTGAGACACCCTGTACATTTTATAAATAGGGTTATTATGAAGTCCTGTTACAATTTCACATTTTTATGGCAGTTTTCAACATATCTTAACCAGTTTAGTTTTATTTCAACCAGTGTTTATTCAATATTATTTTACCTCATTCAAAGCACCTCTATATCAAAGTTCTTTTTCATCATTTATTTTAAAGGACTTCATGAACACGCAGCACATATATATATAAATTGACATTAGGCGGCAAACGACCATAAAATCTGAATATAACCTGTTACATAGAACACCGACTGCCAACCGAATGTTGTCGCCAACACGCCAGAAAGTGGTAGAGTTACTACTACTCCGATTGCTGCCCCTGCAATATTATAACATGAAGGAATATAGCGAATCTTCGTAATACATTTGTTAAGGACAACAGTATTTATATAAAACAGAAGATTAAAACAGGACTGACCAACTGGAACATTAACATTTTAATCCATAAGTACATTTCATGTCCAATAACTAAGGCTGGAAATTTCAGGGGAAACACTTTAACCGTGAATCGAGCAAAATTAACTGGTTAACCGCAGCGTGACGTTTGACGTAATAATTTATAATTTTAGCTTGTTAGATCACAATGGTTACAAAGCAATTTCACATTATCCTATCTCTCAAAATTATCCACGATAAGAAATATTGTCACATTACCAATACAGTTAGTGATATTCTTTTGAATTAAACGCCACAGGAGATAAATTTGCGAAGATAATTTTTGAAAAAATCTTATATTATAATGATGATTGGTATCTGAGTAACCGTTAGTCATCTAAAATCGGTTAACCAATTAACCGGTTAACCATTCCCAGCCCTACCAATAACATATCTATGGCACACTGATTATAAAAAATATATATAATATGGAAGTTATGAACCCTAACTTTTGAAGATGCGAATTCAAAAATTGATAAGAAATTTTAAAGCGATTATGATATAATGATTCAATCAATTTTTTACACATTGTCTCAAGAATCAAATAC